TCATAATTTGGTCTCCTAGCTTTCTTTTTCTTTTTGAAAAACGGTCTTTACTTGTTTGGTAAACCAACACTTTTTATAGGATTTTTTTTTATTTTAACATATCTACTTGAATTCCCATTATTATTTCTTAGAAATTAATTACTTCAGGAATGATAAACAGATATGTCAGTCAACAAACCTATATAGTTTTCTTATTAGTTTCTATTGACATAATTTTCCATTTTAATGAAAATTGTGAAATTTCGATATGAACGATTATTCTTAAGTATTTTTGACTGATATATCATAAATCCTAAATCACATTCTAGAATGGTTCCAAAAGTGCAGTTATTTACTCTATTTTCCTAATTCTATCCATTTGTAATCTTAATTATGATTTGAAAATAGCATTATTATCGTAAAGATATTTTAAATGTGTTCTTAATATTTTTTAATCGCTTTAGTGCAATTTTGTTTTTTGTTCTTCATTAAGCATTTTAATCTTCGAAGGTGTGTTGATGACTTCCCAAAATTTATAACACTTTGAAATGTAACCTACATGAAGAACTAGAACTATGGATAAAAATGTATTAATATGTGGCAGTTTTGAAAGACAATAAATTAGGGATAAAAACAAATGACATTATTATAAGAAAATAAGTCAATGATTGGGGAAAAAATTCTTGAAAAATGCTACCATTCAAGATTTGGATATATATGTCATGTGCTGTTTCTTTATTTTCTTTTTCATTCTAATTTTAGGATTTTTTATACAAGAAAAACTACTTGTTAACTTGTTCATAATATTTATCAATTTTTTTTTTATTAATTTGATATTCTCTTAGACAAAATATTTTATAACGCATTCTTATGATCTATTTTTGTATTAAGTATAAATTCAGTATATTCAGTTTATCAAAAGATTCAAAACTGATAATATGACCTGGCCGAGTCAAAAAGGTAGAGGCAACATGCGAACTTCAGTGGTAGGAGCCTAGGAGACTAGGAAGAGATGGCAAAAATAGTGATGTTTCTGAACGATCGTGTGGTCAATGTCAACAATCATTTGTTTTTTTGAATGATTTGCATTAGAATGATATATATATCTACTAAGTTGAATCATGTTCAAAGCTCAATAATGTCATATAGATCTTCCAACATCGACATAGCAAAGAAAGATGATATCATGTTTGATATATATCAGACTTGTCTACATGTATTGGATACATATTCATCTATCTAAGAGAATATATGCTTAATATTACTTCATTCTTCTATAGGTTGTTTGTATCGAATGATTAAACATGATCATAGTTTCCAAAATTTTAAGACCAGTGAGGCTTTTTTTTGTCCGGCACACATACACATATGACATATGGGTGCTTTGCATGTAAAGGATTGGTACAATACACGCATGCATGTTCTGTTTTCCAATTACATAAATAATGTAATACACATGTTCTATTTCAATTATTATTTTATATACACTGTACGTAGTATTATCATATACGATATATTAACCAGACCTGGGGAGCACGAATTGAAAATAGTCTGTAAAAAACATTTGATATTATTGTAATTTAGGCATTCACAATTGCCCAATGAATGAAATCGCAGTCAGAAGACTATAGATCCTCAACCTTTAAATTCTCAGTGGGTGAAAACCGTAACAATAGTTGCGTCGGAGAGCAAACCAATGTCTACACTTGCCATATGTGGAAACCTACCAACCCACCAGGGTGCAAACTAAAGCTGGTTGCAACAACCACATAATATCTTATCTGGTGGTCACAAAAATGTTTGGGAATGTTAAAAAACGGACGCTACATAACATATGTCGCACAAATTAGGATGCGTTCACATTTTTTTCTTTTTGTGGTAAATATGCGTACACGTTTGACCTAATCTTAACCAACCAAATGCATTCACACAAACTGCAATATTTTCTACTTATCTCATCTGCCTAGTCTGAAATGCGTTCATACAAAACACCAAAGACTTATAATACCATGACTGAAGATAAGATATATCTTGAAAGATCAAATTCCAACGGTTATATCTTCCTTTTTTTTACGTCCAGAAGATCACAACGGTGTGATTCACACCCAACACATTACTATTGATTGACTTTGTTCAACCTTTGTATAAAGAACCATTACTATGGCTAACTTTTTTTTTTTTTTTATCTTCTTGAATTTGATAATCATGATTTGAACTAAGAGATAGAGCTTTTAACATATTTTTGTGACTGCGTTGAAGAATCTAAGAATCTCTAGGAACAACGTATGACTATTGATTTTATTAGCGCTTCATTTTTGAGGGTAGTGTCATCTACCACATTTCAACCTATTGACTGGCAATTCCATTAAATCTATAACAAAATACGTATATCATAATGTCACAAACACACATCGAATGCTAAAAAATTTACGATATTCATTGCTTGACCGCTTCCATAAATGATCAACCCCCGAAACTTTCCATCATATTGTCTTTTAAAGTTTATGACAATACAGACACAATTGGTCAAATGAAAATCATTACAACTCTAAATGATTTCGGTAGTCAAAGAACTTAAAAGGCAAGATTTATCGGTACCTTGTGGTAGTTCAATACTTGATGAATGTATGAAAGAAAGAAAAAAAACTAAAATATCATAAAAATACACTTAAAGTTATTGGTAAAGTAAAATGTGTTGGGCTTGTCTTTTCCTCAATTGTCGCGAAGTCTATGGTATAAGCGAAAGAGAAAGCGTAGATAGCATGATGGGCCATATACATGAATAAAAGACTTGAGTATGCTACAAAAACAAGGTTTCAATGCACTCATTTCGTAATTCGTATGGTATTGCATTTTTCTAATTTTATTCTTTTAATGTGTTCCCCATTGGCTTGGCAATAAAGTTGAATTTGTATTGATGGTTCATTTCAGTACGAGCTAAAAAATCTTAATTAATTGAAAAAGTATACTACAACAATATAAATGATTGCAAGTCACCTCGAGCAAAACATCAATTAACATTTTTTCGTTGCATATAGCATATAGCTACCATTATGTTGGGTCCAAAGTTTTTTTTTAGAAAAACACCATCGCCTTTCAAGTCCTTTACATACAATAATGCACCTGACACGACCAATTATGCATATCTAGTCTGAATTCTATTATTTTCAAAGGAATTCAACAGTTTTGATTATATTTTTTTCGCAAAAGTAATTGTCTCTATATACAACCGTCAATAAGGTGACCAAAAGAAAAACACGGTCATTAATAAAAAGACAAAAACACTATTCTAGAAGTTACAGCTAATTAAGAACATTGTTGATAAAAATAAAATCCATTCTAGAAGTTACAAAAAACACTAACAAAAAAAATTATTCTGAACCAAGTAAAGAGAAAAAAAATTACCCAAATGTCTAAGACCAGGTTTCTTAAGACATTTTAGAGGTAAGATTTGGTAAGAGACTATTTTTCAAAGATTTGTTCTAACCATCTTTAACAAGGGTATTTTAGAGGTAAGATTTGTTAAGATGGTCTAACGTCTTATTAGTGATATTGAAAATGAGACGAAGAAGTTTCGAAGCCAAATACCCTCGTAAGGTAATGATCAGTCGACGAATAACAAAGTCAAGATTAGTCAAGAACGAGAGATGATGATAATGATATGACTAGTAACTGAAGGGTTTAGTTTTAAGATATGAGTGAATGCTGATCAAGTTTCTAATGATGCATTTGAGAAGAGAATCTAGAGACGAACTAGGGGCGGATCTACAGTGTGGAGAGGTGGGGCACGTGCCCCATACTCATTATAAATAAACGTTCATTTGGTTAGTTTACATCAATGTTTACTTAGCTTATTTGGTTACTCGTGCCCCATGTTCTTTCATTTGACGAGGGTTCAATGCCCAACATCTTTAGTTTTTGTTATTTTCTTACCTTTTTTTTTATTGGTGCCTCATACGATTTTTACTTCTGGATCCGTCCCTGGACGAGACGAAGCATATGGTGTTGTTATAAGCATCTACTATACAACTTCAGTTTAGATGTTTTTAGTTTTAGATTTTTTTAGTAGTTAAATATATTAGTTTTTTACTTTACTTTTGAGCGTACTTTATTTTAAAATAATACAAGTTTTATAATTTGTTACATTATACATTGGATTAAACTCTAAATTCTTCTAAACTGTATCGTTTTGATCGTTATTTTTCTAGGTTATTATTAATATTATTTTGTCTCTAAGACATGAAGAGTCTTCATTCCATGCTCGGAAAAATTACAGAAAAAGAGAGTAAAAACTACTGACATAACCGGTTATTACCATGGTTTCATGCTTACAAATTTGGCCGGATTCGAACCTATTCACCGTCAAAATGCTGTTATAAAGTAATCTATTTTTAATTATCTAACAAATTAAATAATCAAAGCTTCCATAATTCATGCGACAACGACAAACGAATAACAACGATTTATGTTTCATCTTGCTGTCGTTGAATTCAACAATATCGAAACGTGAACGACACATTTTTCTTTTTCTTTTTTCTTTTCATTGTGGAAATTATATAATACCATTTTCAAAATTCTATTTATACACCTACAAATTTCTAACATTTTCATATCATGTCGCCAGGGGCGGACCCACGTTGGTGATAGTGGGGGCATGTGCCACCAGTAATATATAAAAACAAAAAAAAATAGTAATAATCAATGTTGTTTAAGTGGCAGAGTGGTTTCGTATCAAATCAATTAAACCTTTAGGTTGCGTGTTCGATTCCCTATTATTATTTCATAATTTGTATTGTCCCTTGGACCTAACGTAACCTACAAAAATATGGAAATCAGGATAAGTTGATCACTTCTATGAAAAATATTAAAATAATCTTAGACTTTTGTTAATCACGTTTAAAGGTAAATAATATATTAATATTAAAATAATATTTACCTTTAAACGTGATTAACAAAAGTCGGGTCCTGATTAGTCATCACTGTTATCCCATTTCATCATCATCTACTTCCGTGCATGTTTTACCATTCGGCACTTTATTTCGTTCATCACGCAGCCAAACCAGCCATAGAGATTTTTTGAATCACTCTTCTTCTTCTTCAACCATGACTGTCCTCAAATCTGCAGATCGAGGTTCGTTTTCGTCCCCTGTGTCTTCCATTTTCTCGTTTTGCATGTTTCGTCCACCCTCTTTCGTTGTCGCAGCTCTTTTGCGATTTTTTTTTTTGGTTTGGTCGTCTTGAATGATTTGTTTTGTCGACCATCTCGATCGAACAGGTGATATCGTTGGTTAGGTCTATATGAGATTGTGTTTCGAGTGTTCGTTTCAAGTAATTTGACGGAGATTATGAGTTTTTTCGGAGATTTTGGGATTTCAAATTCGTATTACAGCCTGTTTCATTTGTAGATTGTGAAGAGGCTCGTGATTGTTGAAACGTATATGGGAATTAACATAGAGATTACGAATGAATTTTGGTTTTGAGAGTTGAAGAATTTTGATTCTGAATTTTGGTTTTTGCTCTTGCAGATAATGCTGAGAAGCAGGTGAAGAAGAGTTCATATTTTGATTTGCCATCTATGGAGATATCTAAAGCATTTCCTCAAGCAACCCCAGCCTCTATATTTCCACCTTGCAGTAAGGATTATTTCATCACTTCTTTCCTTCAAATGATTTATAGATTTGGATGGTTTATTGTACTTTGCCTCATATGTGGATACTCCTGCAGCTTCGGATTATTATCATTTCAATGATCTATTGACTCCGGAGGAACAGGCCGTCCGGAAGAAAGTGAGAGAGTGCATGGAGAAAGAAGTTGCCCCGATAATGGCAGAGGTGTCTATTCATCTTCGAGATGTTTTTTTATAAACCTTGATTGTTTAGTAGCTTTACATCATTGCACTTCCTTCGATTTTTACTTCTCAGTACTGGGAGAAGGCGGAATTCCCATTCCAGATCATTCCAAAGCTTGGGGCCTTGGGTGTAGCTGGTGGCTCGATCAAGGTAATTTTCAATGCTTGGCTCTGAGTTTTTGTTTGGTTATGTGACTGGGAACTTCAAAGTATTGATTAGGTTGTACTTCTTAGGGTTATGGATGTCCTGGCCTCTCCATCACTGCTAACGCAATTGCCACAGCAGAAATAGCTAGAGTTGATGCAAGTTGTGGGACTTTCATATTGGTGCATAGTTCTTTGGGTATGCTCACTATTGGTAAGATCTCCCAATATTTCTTTCTTAGCTTCTTTAACATTCAGGTATTCTGATAATGGCCATACTATTGGTTGGCTTGAGCTCAATTTCTTCTGATTTTTTCATGAATAGCTCTTTGTGGATCGGAAGCACAGAAGCAGAAGCATTTACCTTCTTTGGCTAAGTTGACTACTGTGGCTTGTTGGGTGAGTACATGGATTCTGGACTTGCACGATTTGCATCCTTTGAATGAGTTTTTGTGTTATGTAAACATGATGTTGATTTCATTACATATGTTGGACTTGTACGAAGGGTTTGACAGAGCCTGACAATGGAAGCGATGCAAGTGGTCTATTGACAACTGCCAAAAAGGTCTGGCTAGTTTCTTTCTTTTTATTCAGTTGCTTGTATCTTTATCTGCTCCACTTCTGCAATGGCCGGAATGTTTCACTGTTATAAATGTTTTCAGTTGTCTGCTTCATCAGGTTGAAGGAGGTTGGATAATTGATGGACAAAAGCGTTGGATAGGAAACAGCACTTTTGCAGATGTGTTGATCATCTTTGCTAGGAATACGACAACTAACCAAATCAACGGGTATGTCGTCAGATTTTTTGGCTTTTTCAGATCTCTCAGATTTTGTATCTTAGGTCTAGAGGTCGTTTCCCAAAAAAACTGAAGATGATGAGGTGCTTTTGATTTTATCTTATTGTAGATGTCTTTTTTTTCTTTTTTCTTTTGATCAACAAAATGTAGATGTCAAAGTCTATTTTTTCAAGAGAATTCTTAAATAGATTGCTCTACAACTACAATTGAACGGAATGTCATCCAAAACATATTTTAAATGGATTGTCATCAAGAAAATACTGGGCTAATGTGTTGATTTCAATCAAATTCAACTCATTCCTTTTAGATAGACTATATTTTCTGCATTAGAAATTTAGCAGCAACCTCTTGCAGATTCATAGTCAAGAAAGATGCCCCTGGCTTAAAGGCTACCAAGATGCAAAATAAAATAGGCTTACGTATGGTTCAAAACGGAGATATTCTACTACAGAATGTCTTTGTTCCGGATGAGGACCGGTTACCTGGGGTAAATTCTTTTCAGGACACCAGCAAGGTACTGTTGTGATAAAATGCTCTTCAGTACTCCTTTATCACCAGCAAAATGTCACATCTTCCTCTTTCGTCTCGATATTCAACTGTTTGGTATATTTTACTTGAATAGGTCCTGGCTGTCTCACGTGTGATGGTGGCCTGGCAACCAATTGGCATATCAATGGGAATCTACGATATGTGTCACAGGTACTTTTTGGGAAACAGTCAGATCTCAGCAACCGTAGTATGAGCCTTCATTTCGTAATGCATGATACAGTTTCTCATATAATGTGTATTGTTTCAAGGTATCTAAAGGAGAGAAAGCAGTTTGGAGCACCGTTAGCTGCTTTCCAGATTAACCAACAGAAGCTTGTTGAGATGCTAGGTAATGTTCAAGCAATGTTTCTAATGGGCTGGCGCCTCTGCAAGCTATATGAGACAGGTCAGATGACTCCAGGTCAAGCCAGTTTAGGAAAGGTATAATAACAACAAACCCTTTTTTGTTTTCATATGAGTTTCTCTTTGCTGATATAAAGAAACATTGAATAATATCATTTGCATGGTTCCACTAGGCATGGATTACATCGAAAGCACGGGAAACTGCTTCACTAGGTCGATCGTTGCTCGGTGGGAATGGAATTTTAGCGGATTTTCTGGTGGCAAAGGTGAGCTAATCTTCATATTTGACTTGGCGGTTGGTTATGTGGCAAAGGAGAATCTTATTTATGTGGTAAAAAATGTGAAAATTTTGCAGGCTTTCTGTGACCTTGAACCCATTTTTACCTACGAAGGGACTTACGAGATAAACAGCTTAGTGACCGGAAGGGAAGTAACTGGGATTGCAAGTTTCAAACCAGCGACACGGAGCCGACTTTAAAGATAAAGGCTGTGCATTATTTGTTGTTGTCTGTTGGTTATAATGTAATGGGAGGCTTTGCACTACTTGGAGAACAGCATTCACAAGTGTGCCAAATAATCTGACCTCAAAGCTTTAGGGTCGTGTGCAATGGGAAATAATAGTCCGTTGATATTTTATTAAATCTCAGAAGATATATCATAAATAACTTTTATAAATGTCGATAATTAAATCGATGTGTTTCTTTTTCTCTTTTTGGGTAGACACTGATCAGATCAGTTGGTTATTATTCATCAGAGTAAAGTTATATATGCGTAAGATCAATTGCATTATATAAAAAAAGTTTTAGTGATATAGCCTTTTTTGTTCTAAGATTCTTGTACGGACATTCAACAGTAAACACACAGGAGAATGCAGAAACGGTAAGGTGTGCGTGGGAATTTTTAGAAGAATGTGAGATAAAAATAATCTCAATTCATAAGTAATCAAATTAGATGGCAGAGACGAGGCCTTGAACACAAGTGCCTTCCATTGGCTTTGATCATCGCCACAACTCCTGCAGTCACTCCAGCCCACAATGCTGACGCCAGATACTGCTGAGTGTTTCTTCCCGCTGTTATATCACCCAACATGTCAATCACAACCCAATCCTATAATGTATAATCATATGAATTCAAAAGCCTTTCTTTTTACCTTGATGAATTGTAAAAGATGTCACTGTTACACCACCTATCAACAATGCTGATGCTACCGGCAGAAACTGTTTTATTTTTCATCCAGCAAACAAAATATAGTCAGCTTCTTTTGTTTGCTTGATTGTGGTCTCGATCGTTTAAATGCAATTTATATGATTGCGTTTACATATCAAACCATTTTCATCAAAGTGCAAACGCAAAAGGGCAACCGCATTTGGTGTTCACGTTTATAGTAAACAAATGAAGTTTTGTCTAATAAGATTGTGGTAAGGAGGAACATACAGACGGTTGTGATCCAATGGGCTGAAGTTGTGAAGGGCTGTTTGTGCCCACTGTGTAGCGACCACTTATTAGATCCAAAGCATCCTGAAAAATAAAAATCTCTGTCAGTTTTTGCTTTCTGTACCTTCAGTTTATCATCTTTTACTTCACTTCTAATTTGCTAATTCAATTATAATTGTACAAGAAACTTGCCTGCCTTACACCATCCTGGAAGTTATTCAGATAATATCTCGACATCGCACTGATGCCATCTTTGATTGCTCCAGCCATAGTCTGTTTCCCGTACCTGCCCCAAAATACCCCACATTGTACCATTTACATGGTCATTCTAAATAAATATATTGATTTAAGCCCAAGGCCTAAAGAATCTTAGAGAAACTACACCCAGTGTAAACAGAGAACTCAAAATTGTTATTACAGGTTATCAATCTAGTAATAGGGTATTGAGAGAACATCATGGAACATTCTAACAGTGCTGATGCATGGTTAAAACACAGCTTAACTGTAAACTCAAAAGACATTACCACAGTATCACACGAACTTTTAGCCAGCTGAAACCAATATGGTCTTTCAAAGGATCACAAGCAGACATTATTCTCACCTGACAAGGTCGCCCTTAAGAGCATATGTCCCGGCATATTGCAAGCTAATCTCATCCCCTTGCTCAGCCCAAACTATGAGAAAAAGAAGGATTAAAGTTTTAAGAAGACAGAAGATATCTACAGCTTTAAAACTGGAAACTGCTGATTTTATAATGATGACAACCACTTACTTGTTCTGAACTTTGTGTAATCGTCTTCGAACAAGGATACACACTCTGTGGAATCAAACACTCCGATCCTTTGAAGTTGTAAATTCAGAATTTTTTGGGCCATGTAATTCTTTTCATATGGTGCAACAAAAGGTAAGGAAGCAATCAGAAGCAATTCAATAAGAAGGTTTCACAATGCAATCAGAAGCTATTCAATGGTAGTGTTTGCATCTTAGGTACAAGGTTTCGAATTCGACCATCTAAAAGGCTTTACAATAAGTCTTTTTTTAGCCGTGACGTGCAGCCAGAGATGATATATGAAATAAAATATGTAAACAGCTATTTTTGGCCCGTAAAATTTAGTATAATGCATAGTCAAGTTCCCAAAGCTCAGATGAAACAAAAAGAGGTTTACCAACAGTTATTTACACGTCCCACCCATATCATCCATGATTTTATATAGAACATATCGTACTAATTGGAAATGAAAAAACCAAGAGTAAGAACTATTCAACAAACCTGGGTGACATTTGTGCGGTCAAGACAGTCAATGCAGTTAGATCTGATCACTCCTTTCTGCTCTTCTAAGATGCTTTCGTCTGCGTCTACGAGGAAATATCTGCTCAGAATGGATTAGTGGCTGCTGAAATAAAAGGCTTTGCACACAGCTAGCAGAAAGCTAACTTGAACCAAACGAATAACATCTGACTGCTAACCATATTAACTCAGCGTCTAGATCGAAATGAGCAGAATAAAAACCATAATTTTTCTGCTTACCCTTGCTTTTCAAAGTCATCCCCAATCTGTTCATACAGTACTCCCAAGTTGTCAAAGTTTGTAGTTCCACAGACGTGATGGAAATCGAAAGAGACATATCTGCGTGAAAATATCTCATTAACTAACAATATCTCTGAAATCACTTTAAGTGTATGATGATGAGACGACGAACACTTTGAATCAAGACAAGGTAAAAGACAAAATTTCACAAAGAAAGCTAAAAGATAAATCCTAAATGAAAACCTAGTACATAAATGATTAAACATGAAGGATAGAAGGTAAATGCGTCAATATGGATACAGAGTTTTACCTCACATTTTGAAGCTTCTCCATTTCGGTGGCATATGCCTTGCTTAATTCACCTTCATCCCCATGCTAATGCAGTCCAATATGATAGACTAAGTTAATGATACATTGAAAGTAAGCAAGTGAAATGTTGCATAGCAGAAACCACACTAGAATCAAAGCCAACATACATTTCACATTTCAAAGTGCACATATGTTTTTTTCTATTTACTTTTTTTGCTATCTGAAATGAGGAGCTAGAAATCAACCTGATCTGTTAGGTCAACTGCAATAATTTCTCCATATCTTTGGCAAAGATCATGGAAATGGCGCTGCACAACTTTTGGCTGGAGGCAGAAATAAAGTCATCAAATATGAGGGCTGGCAGAATATAACTGATCTGGTAACAAGATCTCAAAAAGTTACCGTCTCTTCGTGTTTATTGATCTTAAGTCGTGGCTTATAGCTCAAATCAACGATCTGCTCCCAAAGAAGTGGGATTGAACCTCGAACCTAGTAAGTGAAACCGAGAGAGTTACAGCACGCAAGAAATGAAAGGGAAGCTTAAAAAGTAAGGAGATAGAAGAATAAAAGCAAGGTGCCCTACATAATCAAGTCAAGTGAAGAGATGAAGCAACAAATAATGAATAGGGAATTTCGAGCAAATCAAACTATATAAAAATAAAGTTTAAACAATAACCATTCAGCTGAAATGCTATGAAAGAAATCTCACATAGTATATCATCTATGAATGTCATTCTACTTACTATGCAAATGAAACAGTTAACAAGACAATAATACATAATTTTAACAGGATACTGCACAAAATGCGCTCTTAACAGTAGTATACCTGCAATACTGAGAACTTGAAACCATTAATCTCCACTATTTGTTCAGATTCGACAAAATTTGCTGTGTCCCCCTCAAGATTGGCTCCTCTTCTCCACATACGTGTGCCTGGGAGGCCAATTTCAGCATCAATGTCAAACAAACATGCAATCAACTAATTTGTTAAGCAGTAATACCAGTTAAAACCTACCTAGACGACGTGTACAGCGCCTGGAAATTAGCGATATCACAGCAGGAGAATTCTTGAGCTTTAGCTCAGCAACTTGGTAGCTTAACGATTAGTTAATGATAAACAACACGTACTGGAGTATCATCTTTAAAAATACATATTTGAAAGACACTACATTACAAATATAACAAGTCCAAGAAGATGCGAAACAGAAGATAATGAAGATAAAAAAGGATATTTCCTTGAAGTAGAGGAATAATAAAACCATCCAGCTGCCACCATAAAATGAATGTTAGATCAGTAAAATTTGACATGGAATGAGAAGATTAGATAATTAAAAATCATAATCTTACTTTGCATTCAATTAATTCCTCCAACAGACGCCAGTTCCAAACAAATCGAGGGTCAGCCTGACAAGCAAGTAAACCTTCAGCTAACTTTAATTCGACGAACTAAAAGCAGACAACAATGTACTATCCAAGGAAATACTTTTTGTAAAGATAGAACCAGACGAAAAAACCAACCTGCTTCCAGATAGGCTTACGATTCCAACCTTCAGCTACCTTGCACCTTCTTTGCAAGCTGTAACATTGGATGAATGTATCTAATATATATTCTTAAAGCCATGGAACTCCGTACCACTCTTTACTCAAGATCATCAGATAGTGAAACTTACTTCAATGTTAGATCTGTTTCATATGAAAAATACAATCCAGGGGTTGCCTCAAGTGCTTGTAACAGAGTCCTAAAATATGCTTCGTCCTTTTTCTGCATAATCACCGTTTCCAGGTTATGACAAGTTCTTCAGACAACTTAACTTGTTCATAAAAATTCAAACAAAAAGAACCCCCAAAATCTTATATCGATTGAACTTTACAATAACCTTACTTCTTGAGCAGTAGCAAACCTCAAAGCCTCATTGCAAGGTAGGAAATTCATAGCTGTAACTCTAAAAATCGGAAAACCGAGGTAACTCCCAGCTTTCTCCCGAGCTGTTATAACGAGCAAGTATGTTCCTATATATAAATGAAGTGGAAACCAGCATTTAAAAAAAATCTCATATATATTGGAGCCAAACACAGTACAATAGTTCCATTTGAGCAGAAACCAAAATACAAAGAGAAATATAGAAACCTATCTTCACCTGCTAAGAGCCTAATAGTTCCTCCTACGCCATAGATAATAGAGACTTTAGTAGGATTCCCAGAAGATGCGTTTTCTGCAGTAGCGAAGAAACAGGTAACATCAAATATACACTACAACAGCATAAAACACTAAATCTGACGAGAAATCGAATGAACAGATTCCTCTTGCGCTTCATATTTACTCTTGGAATCAAAAAATGAGACAGAGAGTGTGATTACCATCGAGAGGTTTGATGTTGCCATCACGCCGATCGACGGCGAAGCCTTCATGAGACGAATCGACTGGTTTGAGGACGTACTTATCAGAAAACTCCAGAAGCTTAAATTCATCGTAGAGCTTGAATCTACTTGAAGATGGAGGAGCGATCTCCATTAACACAAGATACTGAGATTTTCAAAAACAGGAATAAATTGAAGAATGATGATGTTAGAGTTTGGTTCAATCAAGAATGGGATCAGGAGATTATCAAAGATAGAATGGTCAATCATTGTTCATTATTTTTCTTCAAAGTTGACTCTCTGCCACGTGGCTTTCGTCTGGGCTTTATTTGGGCCTGATCTCTTTCCTCAATCACATATGCGGTTTAATTAGTGGTATACGTTACGGTTCGGTTCAGATAACCAGACAGTACAATGCCAAAGAGGATGGTGCCCACGTGGCAATAATTGCATCAAAGGCCGCCAAAACTGTTTACGTAGCAAAAACTTATCGCCGGTAACTTACAACCACTTGTTTCCGAAACAGCAACAGAGCCTCCAAAAAAGCTCACTCAATCTCCGGTTACAGACGATTCTCTCCTCCGCTGCTTCTATGACTACTTCGATCCTCAACACCGTCTCCTCCATACATTCCTCCAGAGTTACCCCCGTCGACAGAGTCGGAGTTCTCTCTCTCCGTAATCCCGATTCCGTCGACTTCACTCGTCGGCGTTGTTCTGGTACATCGACCTTGGTCTTCGGATCACCGGGTACATTACATTCCGTTAGATAGATGCTTCGGACAATGATTTCGATCTTTTTTTATACTGATTTTGTTTTTGTTCGTAGGGCGGAGATTTGTTGTGCGTGCGGCGGAGACTGATACGGATAAAGGTTTGATTTTTATTTCTTTGAATTATCATTTTTCTACAATTTTTTCCGTTGATTTTTAAACTTACTTAGACATTGTTGGGTTTGAATTTCCCATGGCAGTTAAATCTCCGACGCCTGACAAGGCACCAGCCAGTGGTTCGAGCATTAACCAGCTTCTCGGTATCAAAGGAGCATCTCAGGAAACTGTAATTTTCTTAATCTTTTCGGAACTTTTTTAAAATTTGGGTTTGAAATTGATGTAATTGAAAATAAAATTATCGTATTTGTGCATGATGATGTGTAATTGACATAGTTTAGATGTTTTCTATTAAAAGTAATCACTTTCAAGTTGATAAGTACATTAGCCTTTGTATTTATTAACGTTTTAACATTGTGGAAATGTTGTTTGTTAGCTAAAAAAAGAGTTGGTTGTTTACTTCTGTTCTGTGGTCAGAATAAATGGAAGATTCGTCTTCAGCTCACAAAACCAGTCACTTGGCCTCCACTGGTTTGGGGAGTCGTCTGTGGTGCTGCTGCTTCAGGTAAACCATATTAATTTTTTTGGGTTGACGCAACACTGTTCATTAAGTGTTTGTTTTCTTCATGTTCTTACCAATCTTCTTCACTAGATATCTTTAACTTATTTTCTGTGTAATTTCATGACTAAATCTTTGAATTGCTCAAACACATCTTTCTTCCTGCAGGGAACTTTCACTGGACCCCTGAGGACGTTGCTAAGTCGATTCTTTGTATGGTGATGTCTGGTCCATGTCTTACTGGCTATACACAGGTTTGGTTTTGTTCAAGACAAAAAATCTGAATTGTGTGTATGGTAATGCATTTTCTTAATGCTGCATAAACTTAGATGTGTCGTCGATTTTCCAGACAATCAACGACTGGTATGATCGAGATATTGACGCAATTAATGAGCCATATCGTCCAATTCCATCTGGAGCTATATCAGAGCAAGAGGTACTAAGACACAGAACACTGTGAGCTTTGATCACTTTGTTTTATTCTGGTTTATACTTCTTGTTGACAAATCTTCAACGCAGGTTATTACACAATTCTGGGTGCTATTATTGGGAGGTCTTGGAATCGCTGGTATATTAGACGTGTGGGTAAGTTGACGGTTTTGGCATTAACTTGTACAGTGATACAGGCACATCAGATTTACTAAATATTCCTTGTTCAGGCAGGACATACCACTCCCACTGTGTTTTATCTTGCTTTGGGAGGATCATTGCTATCTTATATATACTCTGCTCCACCTCTTAAGGTAAGTTCTCTTCCTAAATTTTACTCCTTTAGTGACAAGACAATCTGTGTTCGATAAGTTTTGGAGTTTAGGACTCATTCATATATGAACTGACTCTTTGCAGCTAAAACAAAATGGATGGGTTGGAAATTTTGCTCTTGGAGCAAGCTATATCAGTTTGCCATGGTAAGATATCTCGTGCATTGATATATGCCTTATTCTCATCTCATTGATTTGTTTCTTGTTTCCTTGATTGATAGGTGGGCTGGCCAAGCATTGTTTGGCACTCTTACACCAGACGTTGTTGTTCTAACACTCTTATACAGCATAGCTGGGGTAATCTTCTTGCAACCTTATATGATCTGTTATATAGTCTGCTCTTGCTTCATCTTCTATCTTTGTAATAATGCAGTTGGGAATAGCCATTGTTAATGACTTCAAAAGTGTTGAAGGAGACAGAGCATTAGGACTTCAATCCCTCCCGGTAGCTTTTGGCACTGAAACTGCAAAATGGATATGCGTTGGTGCTATAGACGTTACTCAGCTCTCTGTTGCCGGTATGTAGTAAATAATAGTTTGTGGCTTCTATATCCTCTGTTTTGTTCACTGGGGTCACAGAGTCTATAGATATGAGCTAATGAAGACGCATTCATGTCTATGTTTCTTTTTGTGTGTTTGGTAGATTTTCATATTATACTTCTAAATCGTGTATGTTCAACAACGTCATGAACTATCAAAATCTTACATGGTCCAAATAAAAGGTAGAGATCATCACACTAGTAACTGTCTATCTGGTTGCAGGGTACCTATTAGCATCTGGCAAACCTTATTATGCATTGGCGTTGCTTGCTTTGATCATCCCTCAGATTGTGTTCCAGGTAAAGACGTTAACAGTATCACATTAAAATAATTAAATTACATTCTTGTCACCCGTCTGATTGCTACACTCTTCTTCATACTGCAGTTTAAATACTTTCTCAAGGACCCAGTCAAATATGATGTCAAGTATCAGGTACGTCATCTGAGTACATAAGGGAATGAAACTCAGTTTGCGAATATCTCTGGAGTTGTCTTTTAATCAGAAATTGCTTGATTACAGGCAAGCGCACAACCATTCTTGGTACTCGGCATATTCGTGACGGCATTAGCATCGCAACACTGAAAAAGGGCGTATGCTGTTGGAGTTTAGGCGAAAGCAGAGGCGTTGAAACCACAAATGGTGGGCAAGTGGTGGCAAGGCATCAACCACATTTTATAATATTCGAAAATTATGTGCCATCAGTAGAAACAAATCTTGTTGTATCTTTAGCCGAACAGCGTTATAGATTAGTGTTTCAACTATTTGAGTCCTTCAGTGTCGACTCTAAAACATACAAACATAAATAAAAGAATGTTGTGTTATTACTACATTGCATGCTACATCTTTGGACTTCACAGCAGCATGGGGAGCATCAGTTTGACGAGCTTTATAAGAAATAAGAGAGAACGTTACTTGAATATTAACAATTTGTACCGTGGGTAGTTTTTGAGGTCCTACACTTGCAAGTGATCATGTGATCATTTGTGGGGAGACAAAAAGGACTACACTTTGTGGCCATATATAACAAATGTTCGGAAGTATCAATATTAAGTGTTCAGACACTTGATCAGAGCTCCTCCATGTGCAATATCAACATGTTATGTGTTCAGACACACTTGATCAGAGCTTACTGCTCTTCCATGTGCAATATCAACATTCAAGGCTCTCGCTATTTGGGACCACATTATACTATCATTGTAGTAAACAACTCCAAAAGCAGAGTAAAACCACAAACGATCGAAGTTTCATTGATTGCACCCTCAACAAAAAACTCACAAACATTTGAGCGATACAACCCTGCCGTTAGTACAAACCGTACCTAGCTATATCACACATGAGATAAAACACTAAACCAACTAAAAGTCAAAACAAACACTAGTTAAAACACTCGCTGCCATCCACAACACCAAGAGGTTACTTATTCATATTATCTACTACGGATTATTGGCAGCGGACACTTCTAGTAGCTCATAGCTACTTCCCCTTGTTGGTGAACTTGGACTCGTCGATCTCAATCCCTTCCTCCTCCGCACGCTCTCCACCAGATTTGTCCATGGTACTGAGTCCTCCTTTACGTCCCATCTCCTGATAACCCTCATGCCCTAACTGCTCCTTCCTCGCTTCTCCTCCTTTACGTCCCATCTCCTGATAACCCTCATGCCCTAACTGCTCCTTCCTCGCCTCTCCTCCTTTTTGTCCCATTTCCTGATAACCCTCGTGTCCTAACTGTTCTTTCCTCGTCTCTCCACCTTTACGTCCCATCTCCTGATAACCCTCGTGTCCTAACTGTTCTTTCCTCGTCTCTCCACCTTTACGTCCCATCTCCTGATATCCCTCGTGCCCTAACTGCTCCCTCCTTGTCTCTCCTCCTTTACGACCCATTTCTTGGTAACCCTCATGACCTAGCTGCTCCTTCCTTGTCTCTCCTCCTTTGCTTCCTATCTCTTGATACCCTTCATGCCCTAGCTGCTCCTTCCTCGTCTGCCCTCCCTTGCTCCTTCCTAACAAGTGGGATAGACACAGCGAATTTAGAGTTAACTTTGGTTAGAATATAAACATATACATATTAAGATATTCGCGTATCTGATGGGTCTAGCTGTCTAGCCTTATATGTCAATATGAGCAGTACTAAGAATCAAAGTCTAGTTAAAGACAGTTGGAAAGTGGTCATCTAAGGCAAAACCTTCAGCAAGATGCTCTTGAGCTTCGAGGCTTTTGCCGCCGGTGCCACCTTGGACGACGGTCTCTCCTTGCTTCGCCTTCTCATCGAGCTCTTCTCGGCTCAGTTGCTTTGACGCCATTTTGAAAAGACAAAAAACGAACGCTGAAAGGTTAATATTAAAATGCTCTTACTTTGGTTTTATGTTCCGACACAGATACGGACGAAGTAATAAATTCCTCCTATAAATAGAAACGTTTGGATTCCAAAGGAAACAGATCAACGAGAGGAAAAGTGAAGTGCCACGAGCAGAGCAAGAGACGACGCGGCGAGACCAGAGACAGTGCGCTATGTGGAGATGACACGTTTATGCTTACTCAGTCAACTAGCTACAGTTATTAACGAGCTGCTTGACACGACTCCAAATTAACTTTAATTAATCCACATTTATGAGATTTGGACAATGTTTATTATTTAAAGATATATGGCAAATGCAGCCTTACTTGACGTGGACTAAATTGGGCCTATTCTTAAAAGTTTTTAGTGGCCTTAATCTTGAAACAGTTTCCCTTCGGCCCATGGTGGAATAAAAGAGAAACGTAAAAACAAGAAGAAGGATTAATCCACAAACGGCATCGTTTATGGAGAGTACACAAACCGAAAACCCTAGCACCTTTATTTGAGCCAACACTTAACATTTTGCGCTTCTCCACCATTTCTCCCCAATCGCTCCTCCTTAAACCCTAACATTTTGCTTCCCCTTTGATTCGATCGTCGAGAGTTACCAGAGATGAGTTCGGACGACGAGAGAGACGAGAAGGAGCTGAGTCTTACCTCTCCTGAAGTCGTCACCAAGTACAAGGGCGCCGCTGAGATCGTTAACAGTAAATGCCCTCTCTCTCTCATTTTCTCCATTTGATTTTTATCCCGACTCCAATTTAGGGTTTTCACGCTGTAGCTTTGTTGAGTGCTTATTGCTTTTTGGTTTGAATTGCAGAGGCGTTACAGGTTGTTCTAGCGGAATGCAAACCAAAAGCTAAGATTGTTGATATCTGCGAGAAAGGAGATGCTTTTATCAAAGAGTGAGGATTTTTATCACTCATTTCTTGTTTTTTTGCTTCTACTCTTGTGTTCTTGATGTAGATTTCAAATTTTTTAACGCTTTTAGATATTAATGTGGTTGTTGCTTTTTTCTTCTGTTTTTGAATAAAGGCAAACAGCGAGCATGTACAAGAATTCTAAGAAGAAGATAGAGAAAGGTGTTGCTTTCCCTACATGCATATCGGTGAACAACACTGTTGGTCATTTCTCACCGCTTGCCAGTGATGAGACTGTGTTGGAAGACGGTGATTTGGTCAAAATGTAAGCTCTCTTCATTCAAATGGCTTTTGTGCTTTTTTCTGTTGCCCTATTTGGATGTTTCTGTATGATTCTGATGCTGTTTTGCCTTTTGTACATTGTAGTGATATGGGTTGCCATATTGATGGGTTCATTGCTCTTGTTGGCCACACACATGTTCTTCAAGAAGGGCCTGTTAGTGGACGTAAAGCTGATGTATTCTGCCGCAAATACTGCAGCTGAAGTTGCTTTGAGGCTCGTACGTCCTGGAAAGAAGGTAACCACAGTGCTGCTTTTGCATGAGAGTTGAAATTATAGGCTGATAGTTCTGGTATTATATTTGTTTCCCTGTATGATTGTCAAGGATTTGCATACCCCAGATGATGAATACTTATTGATGGCTATGGATTATATCCATCTGATGCTTTTTGTCATAGTTACTCTGATGGGATTTTTGTCTCTGAATTTTAGTATGATGCTTCATTGGACTGACTATTAGGCATTGAAACTTTTGTCAAAATTGTGCCTCTTGTTGGTCTTTAGCCTATGCAGAATGATTTATTTCACTTTTTACGGATTTCCTATATAACTTGTTTTGAAAGATATTCTTGGATAAAGGCTGTCATTGTTATGGATTGACTTTCAGATGAGCCGTAGTTACTCTGATATGGGTAATTTACTGTTTAATCATACAACATACTGCAACCAAGATATTGATATTCTGTTTTTTCTTTATGGCAGAACACTGATGTAACTGAAGCTATTCAGAAGGTGGCTGCAGCTTATGACTGCAAAATTGTTGAAGGGGTTCTCTCCCACCAGATGAAACAGCATGTGATAGATGGAAACAAGGTTGTCCTAAGTGTAGCCAGTCCAGAAGCAACTGTTGAAGAAGTAGAATTTGAAGAGAATGAAGTCTATGCAATAGATATCGTGGCAAGCACTGGTGATGGCAAGGTAATTGCTTTGGTTGATTTCATCTTGATGACTATTATTGAAGCATCATCTATTGTCACTGTTCTCACAAACTTTGAATTTGCAGCCAAAATTGATTGATGAGAAGCAAACAACTATTTACAAAAAAGATGAGACTGTTAACTATCAGTTGAAGTTGAAGGCCTCCAGATTCACAATCAGCGAAATTACAAAGAACTTCCCCCATATGCCATTCACTGCAAGGTCTCTTTTGTACATTCTTAAGCAACTTAGATTTTCAAAACTTTCATCTCACCTACTAACGTTGCCGGATTGTATGCTCAATACAGGTCACTTGAGGAGAAAAGGGCACGTCTTGGACTTGTGGAGTGTGTGAACCATGGTCATTTGCAACCATATCCTGTCCTTTATGAGAAATCTGGTAAGGATACGTAAGGTTTTCTTTTATCTAAAAATGTCTGAATCTCATGACATTGGGGCTCATATTATGTTTTGGTTTTCAACAGGGGACTTTGTTGCCCAAATCAAATTCACAGTTTTGCTGATGCCAAATGGATCGGATAGGATCACTTCACATACACTTCAAGAGCTTCAACCTACGAAGACCATTGAGGACCCTGAGATCAAAGGATGGTTAGCCTTGGGTATCAAGAAGAAGAAAGGTGGTGGAAAGAAGAAGAAAGGTAAAAACTTTGAAATTAGTTTTCCCGACTTTTACTAAATATGATGTGATCGACATGTTGACAAAATGAATTCATTTTGGTATGCAGCCAAGAAGGCAGGAGAGAAAGGGGAGGCTTCAACAGAGGCTGAGCCAATGGATGCAAGTAGTAATGCTCAAGAATGAGTAGGAAGGTTTCTCTTTGTTTCCTTTAAAGAATTTTTGGAACTTGAGATACCTCTTTCTTTGTATGGTTGGGTTTCAAAAGAGTCTCATCTTAAAAAAAACCAACAAAAAATAGTTACTTTATCAACCTTGTGTTTTTTATGCGCAAACACTTTCAGTATGTTAATCATCATTTTATATGCTTTCAAACATAGTTTTTGGTAGCCATTAGCCAATAAGTTAGCATACTGATCATATCAAGAAGCTGAAGCTCAAGCATAGAGGTGCCTTCTAATTTAATATGTGTTAAAGAGTGTTGGAGACATCTTTCACTGAATACAAAAACTCCAGAATCACTATAGCAACCAAACATGTGTACCTGTGGCAAACAGATTCATACTAAAGACTTGTATCATATAATAAAGACTTGTATCATATAATTATTATAATATGATACATACTAAAGCAAACATATTCAATTCTTCCCTATAAAAACAAATTTGCAGTGGTGGTAAACTGAAACAAGACATCCCCAGCTTTTGGATTGTTTCATTTTGAGTTTATATGTAGTTGTTAAAATAATTGCAACCCAAACCTTCTAAACCACCGAGAGGTTCTTGACGTGGTCATAGATCAGTGAGGCGGCTTGTGGGCATCTTTCTCCTTTTTCCAGAAAACCCCATAAACCTCGTCTCACTTTCTCGAGAATTTTGATTTCCACGAGAAATTTCTCGAGGGAAAATTTCAATATTTCCGGCAAAAGTTCAGAAAAATGGCGGCTAGATTGTTGTTCCGTCGAAGTTCTCAGATTCTCCGGTCTATCCAAAAACATCCTCAAATCTCATCATCCTTCGAGTCACCATCCCCGATTTTTTATTCATTGACCACCGCCTCACTAGATCCATCGCGATTATCATCCTTAACCTTCCTCCGATCGCTCTCAGTCGCTCGTCGTGGTCCAACGCGTCCTAAGAAGATAGACATAGGAGCCAAAGCGCGTCAGATGCAGAATCGTCGGCTTTGGACCTACGCGTTAACCTTCAGCTGCATCGCCGGATTCGTAGTCATCGTCCTTAACCAATTCCAGGATCAGCTCGTCTTCTACCTAACGCCTTCTGACGCTATGGAGAAATTCGCAGAGAATCCAACAAGACAAGTTCAGACTCGGCGGTTTGGTTCTAGAGGGCAGCGTTGCCCAGCCTGCGGCGTCTCAGGAGATGGAGTTTGTGATCACCGATCTGATTACTGATATTTTGGTTAGGTACAAAGGATCTTTGCCGGATCTGTTTAGGGAAGGTCACTCAGTTGTGGTTGAAGGATTCATTAAGCCGTATACGGATGAAGTGAGAAAGGAGGTTTCTACAAAACCTGTTTCACAGAAAGCTAGGAATCTCGATTGCTTCTTTTCGGCGACTGAAGTTTTGGCTAAGCACGACGAGAAGTATATGCCACAGGAGGTTGCGGCCGCGATTGAGAAGAATAAGAAGATTATTGAAGCGGCGGCCACGACCACAACTGAACAAGCAGCTGAAGTGGCTTCTTAGATTGGTATAAACTTCTTCATTCTTTTTAAGTTTTATCACAATTTTTCCCAATTTGGGACATTTGGTGGGTATTGGTTCAACGTATACTGTTACATTTGATTATAGTTTCCGGCAAAGAGTAGGAAGATTTGGAATGTGTTATTCCTGGAGAACAGAGATTTGATTTTGAGTCTATTTGAGAATTAGGAGGAGAAATGTGATACAGTATACAATAGCTTTGTATGATCCTGCAAAGCTCTAATCTATTTTCTTGTTATATTGATGAATAAGAATTTGCTGTTTGGTTCCTTATGATTTTGGATGTTGTGTTTGTTATTTGCTCCTGCACACTGGTCATCTATATTTTCTTTATGATTCTGCTCATAGACTAGATTGATCATTGATCTAGTGAAGCTTCTCAGCTTGACCAAGTCCCTAGTCAATCATTGTAAACATATCACCAAAGTAGTAGCTTGTGTGACCTTATTCTTATCATGGCTAGGTACTATAGACAAGAGAGTTGAAAACACATATCTTCTTGCAGAGTTTCCTATTTGATGTTCTGGTTGCTCTAAGATCTTTCTTTGTTGTTATATATGAAATGGGTTGAGCTTGTTGACAATCTTGAGCTTTTTATGCATCTTATGTCCCAACTAGGAAATTCCTGGCTCTGAAGATTTCAAGTTTGTACTTTTGAGTCGTTTTTGGTGTCTCACTGCCACTAGAAAATTGCATCTTAGCCTTAGAAACATGGCATTGTGGCCTCTGTGCTGGCACTTCTCTTTGGCTTGGTGCTTGATTACCAAATACCAACTACTAGTATACCTGTGGTATAAACTGTTCTTCTATTGCTTTCTTTATCTTTTTTCAACTGCATCTCTATAGATGCATCACTCTGTCTCAGTGCATGACAAATATTGTGTAGTGATATATATGATTCTATCATCAAAAACTGACTATCGAATATTTGGTCGCTGCCAAGTGCCAATGTCCAATTCCAAAGTTAATTAATTTACTGTGGTCGGTATCAAAAACCCGTAACTGTTTTTAGTCAAATTTTTAATTTCTATATATGTAATGTGGCGGCACCGCGTAAGTCCTGTCTGAAGCTCGACCTGTTTCAAAATCCTGCCAAAATGGAGTGTAGCGTGTACAACAACTCATTGGACTGGCTCGTTCCACATTCAGAGGCCAGTCGGTTGGATCTAAAACCAGCAGTTAAACTATTTTCTATAAGCTATAATTATTGAAAAACATACTTACATTTGATGAAGTCCAAAACAAAGATCATAAACCATATATTATTTCTCAATTTATTTTGTAATAATCATCATGTATGAAAATATCTGTATACCAAAAATTCTAATTGTTCACACCTAAAATTCTAATTACGGAATAAAAAAAAAAGAATGGAAAAACTAAAAATAAAAATGAAAAGCCGTGTTTCAGTAGTAGAATTTGTATGGCTTGAGCGGTGATGTGAAGTTGTGAACCATAATCTTTGTCAATACCCTGAGAAAACCCTAATTTCTTGCTCCAAAGGGTTTTTATTTCCATTCTCATACTCCGGTTCCATCTCGAGAACGATGATGCATAACTCAACCGACGAATCGGAATGGGAGGTGAGACCTGGTGGTATGCTCGTCCAACGAAGAGACGACGACGCTGCTCCTTCCGACCAACCTCTCCAGGATCCCGACTCTGCGTCCGCTGCTTTTGCTCAGACCATCAGAATCAGCCTTTCCCATGGCTCATCCCACCACGATCTTCATGTTTCTGCTCACGCCACTTTCGGTACATAAATAACGCTTCACCTCACTTCCCCGATCCGTTTCTGATTTTTCCATCGCCTTGAATCATGGAGTTTACAAAAATTCGTGCTTTATCTAGTTTTTGTTGAAGTTTGTGTTATGTGTAGCTAAGATTGATATGACTATATGCTCGAATGTGATTGAAATAGGGGATGTGAAGAAAGCCCTTGTCCAGAAAACTGGATTGGAAGCTAGTGAACTGAAGATCTTGTTCAGGGGAGTTGAGAGAGATGACGCTGAGCAATTGCAAGCTGCTGGTGTTAAGGATGCGTCTAAGCTTGTCCTCGTTGAGGATCAGAATAAGAGAGTGGAACAAGTTGAACAGCCTCCTGTGGTTACTGAAGAGATGAAAAAGGCGATTGCCGCAGTTATCGCAGTCACTGAAGAGGTCGATAAGCTTTCAGATAGGGTGAGATTTATGGCTGTGTCTTTTTGGTAGTTCATGTAGGAGAGGAAAGTAGGAAAGATTGTGATTAAGCGAATTTTGTTCTGAAATCAGGTTGTTGCTTTAGAAGTTGCTGTGAATGGAGGGACGCAAGTTGCTGTAAAGGAGTTTGATACGACTGCAGAGCTTCTCATGAGGCAGTTACTCAAATTGGATGGCATCAAGGCAGAAGGAGAAGCTAGGGTGCTGCGTAAGGCAGAGGTTCGTTTTTTACACTGTGTTACTTTCTTCATCTTTGTACATAATAAACATTGTTAGTAGAGGTATAAGATATAGTATATGAGTGTTCAGAAATATATAACTTACATAGATGGGTTACTACAAAACTTGTGTGGCAATGGGATCAGTTGCAATGATAGAGTAGACTTTGGTAATATCCATTTATCGTTTTTGTTCTGCTAATTGTACATGTAGAGACTTTGGTAAAGATCCATTCGGATTCCAATAATGTTGTGCTTTGGTGAATCACTTTGGTAATATCCATATATCGTTTTTGTTATTTCTATCTTTAGTCTAAGTTTGAGCATAGACATAGATTGATTGGGGTTTGTGTTGGCAGGTGCGTAGGGTGCAAATATTGCAGGAGAGTGTGGATAAGTTGAAGGCAAGATGCTCAAATCCGTTCGTGGATCAGAGCAAAGCCGCAGCTGTAAGCACAGAGTGGGAATCGTTTGGAAACGGTGTGGGAAGCTTGAACCCTCCTCCGCCAGCTTCGCCTTCTGCCGGTGTAACTCAAGATTGGGAGAGATTTGATTGACATTTTTATCATTGCCAAGTTTGCCATTAAGGGAAAAATTGCATATTGGTACTGTTTTATCTCTTTTTGTTATTGTTAAGTTGGAAAAATGACCATATAAATATATCCGTTTTATGATAATTCCATGTCTCTATATAAAATTTAGTAATATCATTAAGTTAGATAAATAGAGCAAATGTTGCAGAAATGGAATATGCTTACTGTTCAAGTATTTTTCAACCACTTGTAGTTGTAATTGTAAACTAGACATTTTCATATAGGAATGCCAAACATGGATGATCCGCCTTAGCACCTGGAAATTGATGGACCAATTCGTATTATTATTATTTTTCGTAAAGAAACAAATTTCTTGGGGTTTGATCAAACAAATGGGAATGGCTAATGGATGTTGTTGATCATCCAACTTAATACAAAACCGAAGCTATATAGATTCGAAATCATTATATAGGAGATTTTCTAGAACAAACCAAAGCGGAATAAACCTATTTGGTGTGGGACAATACACAAATAGACAAGTGAGTTTTGGTGGGTAATATACATAGTAGTACGATCCGTGCTTAAGGATAAAAACTAAAAACACATTCTTCTTTTACTTACCCAAAGAATAAAAATACTAAAAAGACATTCTTAGCTGTCTCAGCCACATGACCACAAGTTTTTATTTCTCAATTATATGTGTATTGATGGGAAATTGTATATAATAATGGTGTGCCATCACATAAACATATAAACTAATGGCCCTAATGCTAATCACCCAGCAATATTGGGACTTAATCATAGATTAGATAGCTTATTAGCAGCACAGGATTTAAATTAGGAGGACGATTACTTCCTTAACAGTAAAACGTGTTGACATGACTTCGCCGCTCTATATGGGTGGCAAAAGCCCATTTGCCGGCTATCTAACAGCACACTTATTATTACTTAATTTCTTTCTTCTTCAACCATATTTTATTATGTTCTGTCACACTGACTATTTTTTCCATTTATATATTGAATATTTTTGATGATTTTTCTTACGTTTTTTTTTTGTTGTTGTCTGTAACATAATTGGTTTTGGGGAAAGATATGAGCAATGTTATTGTGTGTTTGTGTTAATTTTTTTGTATAGAACAAAAAAATGTAAAAATGTGTTTTGATATATAGAGGGACATGCACACCCGTTTTGTATTTGTATGTGGTAGCCTCAACATTCGATAGAGACTTTTTTAGATTATGAATATATAAAATGATAACGACGAATCTCTGCAGCAAAATTGTTTTTCTTTGAAAGATTCTGACAGTTATCTATCTATGGTTTCTTTTTTTTTTTGGAGCTATTTAAATTGGACATGTAGTAGTAATTTTTTGACAGATTCAACCAGACAATTGTGTTTTTAATCAGAAAATATTAATGAATTTTTTTCATCGAAAATAATAATGAATAAAATTTATCGAAAATAATAATGAATGAATCTAGTTTAGCTGTTTACTTTTTCTTTTTGTCAATAACATCATACTATCATATATCTAAATGCTGATGGTAACTTAATAATGACACGCTAATACAACAAAACAATTATACACAAACACACTAATACACAAACACTAGCTTATACATTGATGTGATTGGTATACTTAATTAAAATATCATGATTTAACTCTTATCTTAACTATAGAAAACCACTAATCAAAGTAATTAAGCTTAAAAACAATAATTTAAGTAACTTATGGTAACGCCAAGAAGCATATTCAACCATCAAATGATTTGGTAAAGGCAGAAAAAGGAAACACCAAAAGTAAAAGTTTCAAATATAGCCGGAGAAGAAAATGATTTAAAAGAATAAAGTTACACATACAAAGAACACTAAAACAAATAGAGAGAAAAAGGCAAAAATCAATTGTAACATACAAGCATGCTAAAGTAAGTAAGTGGTGATTAAATTCGCAAAGTAAATTAAAGGTCTCAGTACTTTGAAAAATTATTTAAAAATTAAATATGTATAATATTTATTTAATTTTCAACCCTTTTTGGAGATTGTAAAAAGTGCCGCGAAAATCTAAGAAAATAAAAGAAATGGCAGTTTGATTACGTTAGAGTGTATCATAATTTATGTTATTAAACCTTTAAATGGACATAAACTAATCAAAATTTTACTTTCCACAATTAAAAACTAATAATAAGACAACAAAAAACCTGAATTAAAAAAAGATACCAGAAACAAACACATATACACTTAAATAAAATATTTAATTAAAATTATGCATTATTAGAGAACGCATGAATGAATGACCTCTCTCTCTCTGAAACAGATTGGTTTATAGAAAGAAGGAAATAAAAAAAGGAATAAAAGAGAAAGAGAAATTGAGAGATCGAGCGGAGGAAGATTCTTCCCTCTAATTACCTCTTCTCTATTTTTACGGGAAGATTCGTAAAATTAGTAGTGGCGGAACCAACCAAACAAAACAAAAAAAAAAAAACGAACCGGATCGATGAAACTTACACTGCAAAGACACGATATCCGACAAGAGGAAGAGGAAGAAGAAGAACAAGAGCTTCGTTGAGGAAGACGACACACAAACTTTGTACCATATTTTTTTGATAAAGAGACGATTTTTATTGGTTTTTGATTGAAGGGTTTGTTTGAGAACGGGACTTTGGATTGGTTTCGTGATCCAATCCTCAGAATTGTTTTTCTAAGGTGACGGAGAAATTTGTAAAAATTTGTGCTTTGACTCAATTCAGATCTTTGGATAAATTTGTGATTTTTCTTTGTTTTTGGTTTGATTGAAGATGCAGCATAATCTGTTCACAACAATGCGAAGTTTGAAGCTTGCAGAAGGTTGTAAAGGTACACAAGTTTATGCTCTTAATCCCTCCGCTCCTCCTCCGCCGCCTCCACCTGGTAATAGCGCCGGTGGAGGTAGCGGCGGCACCGGAGGAGGAGGTGGAGGAGTTGGGGATAAGCTTTTACAACACCTTTCGGATCATCTTCGTGTTAATTCTGTCCGATCCAAATCGAGCCGGACTTATCCACCTCCGAATCAAGCCAACGCCGTCGTTTCGCCGGAGTTTCTTCTCCCTTGTGGACTCCCTGTGACGGATCTGCTTGAGCCTCAAATCGATCCTTGTTTGAAATTTGTTGATTTGGTTGAGAAGATGGCTGAAGTTTATCGGAGGATCGACGTTTGTCCCCAATTCGAGAAATCTGGGGCGTATCTAGAGCAATGCGCTATTTTCCGGGGAATATCTGATCCGAAACTGTTCCGGCGGAGTCTCCGGTCGTCTAGGCAACACGCCGTGGATGTTCACGCCAAAGTCGTGTTAGCGTCGTGGCTTCGATTCGAGAGGAGGGAGGATGAGTTAATCGGAACAACTTCTATGGATTGTTGTGGGAGGAATTTGGAGTGTCCAAAGGCGACTCTTGTTTCCGGGTATGATCCGGAATCTGTATACGATCCATGTGTTTGCTCTGGAGCTTCTAGATCAGAGATGATGAATGAGGATGATGTTCCTGAATGTTCTACTTCTGATGAAGTTGACTATGATATGTCCTTTTGTATTGGTGATGAAGAGGTTCCTTGTGTGAGGTATAAAATCGCGTCTTTGTCAAGACCTTTCAAGGCGATGTTATACGGTGGGTTTAGAGAAATGAAACGAGCGACGATCAATTTTACAAACAATGGAATCTCTGTTGAAGGAATGAGAGCTGCAGAGAGTTTCAGCAGGACCAACAGGTTAGATAACTTCCCTCCTAATGTTGTATTGGAGCTCCTTAAGCTGGCAAATCGGTTCTGCTGCGATGAATTGAAATCTGCTTGCGATTCGCATTTGGCACATCTTGTTAATTCACTGGACGAGGCAATGTTGTTGATCGAGTATGGATTAGAAGAGGCTGCATACCTTCTGGTGGCAGCTTGTCTTCAGGTTTTTCTCAGGGAATTGCCAAGCTCTATGCATAATCCAAATGTTATAAAGATCTTTTGCAGCGCCGAGGGACGGGAAAGGCTGGCATCTCTTGGCCACGCTTCTTTTGCATTGTACTTCTTCTTAAGCCAGATCGCTATGGAAGATGATATGAAATCTAACACAACTGTGATGCTCTTAGAACGTTTGGTTGAATGCGCGGTGGAAAACTGGGAGAAACAGCTTGCGTACCACCAATTAGGGGTGGTGATGCTGGAAAGGAAAGAATATAAAGATGCTCAGAGATGGTTTAACGTAGCGGTTGAGGCTGGTCATCTTTACTCCCTCGTGGGCGTTGCTAGGTCGAAGTTCAAGCGTGACCATAGATATTCAGCTTATAAGATCATCAACTCACTGATTTCAGATTACACGGCTACTGGGTGGATGCACCAGGAGAGGTCCTTGTATTGCAATGGTAAAGAAAGGCTGCTTGATTTAGATACAGCTACCGAGTTAGACCCAACTTTGACATTCCCTTACAAGTTCAGAGCAGTGGCATTGGTGGAAGAGAACCAGTTTGGAGCTGCGATCGCAGAACTGAACAAGATTCTTGGATTCAAGGCCTCTCCTGACTGTCTGGAGATGAGGGCGTGGATTTCTATAGGCATGGAGGATTATGAGGGTGCTTTGAAAGATATCCGGGCGCTTTTGACATTGGAGCCAAATTTTATGATGTTTAACTGGAAAATCCATGGTGATCATATGGTGGAGCTGCTCCGTCCGCTTGCCCAGCAGTGGAGCCAGGCTGATTGCTGGATGCAGCTGTATGATCGTTGGTCTTCTGTGGATGATATTGGATCTCTAGCAGTTGTTCATCATATGCTTGCAAATGATCCAGGGAAGAGTCTTTTACGGTTCAGACAGTCTCTTCTTCTGCTACGGTATAATCTCTCTTTGCGCTTCTTAATGAATTTTTTTTTCTTGTGGTGCATGTTGTGTCAGATTCTAATTGATTTTAACAAGTACTGTTTGCATACTGACAGGCTAAATTGTCAAAAGGCAGCAATGCGCAGTTTAAGACTGGCTCGAAACCATTCAAAGTCAGAGCATGAGAGACTTGTGTATGAGGGATGGATACTGTATGACACAGGCCACCGTGAGGAAGCCCTGGCGAAAGCAGAGGAATCCATCTCCATACAAAGGTCTTTTGAAGCATTTTTCCTCAAAGCTTATGCCCTTGCGGACTCTACACTTGACCCGGATTCCTCAAATTACGTAATCCAGCTCCTTCAAGAAGCACTCAAATGTCCCTCAGATGGTCTCCGTAAGGGACAAGTAAGTACAGAGTTTAACAGTTTTCATTTTTGTAATATTATTTCTCAACTAGTCTATTGTTTTTCTAGAGGGTTTACTTATTGTATCATCCTTCAGACTGCCATACTTTTAGAGTTTCAGGATCCCAGTTTAAAATATTTGCACTTGGGGTCTGGACTAATTTGTAGATACTTGATGGTGGAATATGGTCGCGTCTTTAGTATATTTGGTCAGAAGGTTATCCTACTAAACCAAATGACATTTAATTTGAACTCTTCTTTGGTGTATATTCTTGCAGGCTTTGAACAACCTGGGGAGCGTATATGTGGATTGTGAGAAGCTGGATCTTGCAGCTGATTGCTATACAAATGCGCTCACTATCAAGCATACACGAGCTCACCAAGGTCTTGCGCGTGTTTATCACTTAAAAAACCAACGAAAAGCTGCTTATGATGAGATGACAAAGCTAATAGAGAAGGCCCAGAACAATGCGTCGGCATATGAGAAACGCTCTGAATATTGTGACCGCGAGATGGCACAGAGCGACCTTAGCCTGGCAACACAACTTGACCCTCTCCGAACCTATCCTTACAGATACAGAGCCGCAGGTAAATGACGCAACCAGTTCTAGTTTTATCCTGGTTTTTTTGTTGTTGGTTGTTTATAATTGGATGCTAGAAACAAGACAACAATGGCTGATCCTTTTTGAGTGATTCACCTGCATATAATTCGATGCACAAAAGTGTTAGAAACACATAGAACCCAGCGTTTGTCCTGATGGATATATAAATGATAATTTATGACCCAACGCATGGAACAACTGAAACTTCATTATCTTTTTGGAGATAGAAACATAAGTGAGAGTGTTATCTAAGAACCGAATTGATATGCAGTTTCTCTGGTTTGGTAAATGGGACTAAGAAAAGTAGTTTTACAGCCTCTGTTCATATCAGTTTTTATTCAATTTGCTTTTGATAACACCAGAGTAATTAAGCTTTCTTTTTTAAATTTCGTTTTGTTTAATATGAACTCTTGATTGCAGTTCTTATGGACGACCACAAAGAGAGTGAAGCCATAGACGAGCTTTCAAGGGCGATATCTTTTAAACCAGATCTCCAGCTATTACATCTACGAGCGGCATTCTATGATTCAATGGGAGGAGGAGCAGCTGCTATCAAAGATTGTGAAGCAGCATTGTGTATTGATCCAGGTCATGCAGATACACTCGAGCTCTACCAAAAAGCTCGTGAACCAAACGACCAAAAGTAGAACAAAACAATCGTTTTGGTTTTGGTGGGCAAATCTCTTATCTTCTTCCCTCCTGGTATGCTTCTACACTGTTTCATTTTCCTTCGGCAAAAACAGAAACTGAGCAAATCAAACAAGGCTCAGTTTGGATGAACCAGGGAAAAAGCAAGCATAGCCATGTAAATAGAAACTTTTATATAAATATATATTTTTTTCTCTATAATTTTGGTTATTGGGGGAGGGGGTGAGGATACTATAAAAGTAAGTAGTGCAGAGAGTGTTTCTTGCTGCTAAAGATAATACGTTTTCTGGGGAAACCACGAAGAAGAACTTACCTCTGGTGAATTTGGACTTCTTCTCTTGTCCTATTTCTAGATGTATTATTGCTTCTTTCTTTTATTTATTTTTTTTTCACTGGAATTATGTGTAATTTTATCTGTAACTTCTTCACCTTTTTTTTTTTGGTTACATGTTTCTTGTATTGGTTCTCAAAAGCATCCGGGGATGTGTTTTTTATCCTCCTGAAACAAGAAAACAAAGAAACTATTCATTCATACATGTTTCACCCAAATTTTCAACATTCTTTCTCTGTTTTAGTGTTTATCACCTAATGAGGAAATCATCTCTCTAATTCTACTTTTTGGAGTTCTTGTTTGGTTTCATGATCGATGTTATAACCACATGATTTGAAGACTTTTAACTTTTTTTCTAAAACTCCTCTGCTTATCTATTTCTCAACCTCTGTGACTAACTTTCTCGCCTGTGAACCCAATAAAAAGACCACAAATATCGGTTCTGCACACACGAGAAAGGTTCAAACTTTCAACAACTTCTCATTAAATTTCAACTCTCAGCTAACAAAATAGTGTCAATACATCAAAGATCTCTCTCAAACTCACAAATCACAAATCACAAATCACCTTCTTCAGTCGCAAACACCATTTCCTTCAGATGATTTTGTTTCTTACGGTTGAAGAAATGATGGATATGAACCGATCCCGGAGGTTGAACTTCAATGCTCCATTCTTGTCCACGAAACGACATGTGAATCAAGAGAAGCTTCCGGGTCAGCTTCCTGAAGCCTCTGTTCCTTTTTGCTGGGAGACCGCTCCTGGGATGCCTAAGAACAAGTCTCATTTGAAAAACGACTCTGAATCCGAAACACCACGTCTCAGACTACCTCCTGGAAGATTAAAGGTTTATCATTCTCTCCAAAACCATAGCGTTTCCTCTGTTTTCCCGTTTTAGGGTTTTCAATCCATTCATTTACCAATTGGTTCGATCTATAATTCACAGATGCATGTTGATGGTGAAAACGAAGACTTTGATGAGGCCAGTGAGGGTTTAACACCAGCTAGATTGTTGCGTCTGAAGAAACGTGACAATCACGAACATTACCGTCAAACCAACCAAGACTCAATCGATGTCTTGTCTCTCACGCAAGCCATAGACATGGTCGAACTCCCAAAAGATAGTTCTGAATCGGATGATGGAAGCAGCGGAGGAGGTGACTCAAACGGATACTTAACAATGGAGAGCACAGAGCGGAGCGACGACATGTCACCGAGTTACATAATAGAAAGGTTTCTACCGGATGCTGCGGCTTTAGCAGCCGTGACATCAGCGGCTAGCCAGAGGAGGAGGAAGAAGAAGAAGCTTTCTTATTTGAGTGGTGCAACGGTGAAGCAGTCTTGTTTTTCACCCAAAGCTTGTGGCTTGCATGTGTTGCTGCCTAGTTGGAGCACTAAGCATAGGATCTGTGGCGTCAAAAACGCCTTTTCTCCTTCTTCCCAAATTCACCTGCAACCCAAGTTTATTGAAAAAGATAACTAGTTGAAATTAATTAAGGTACTTGTTATTCATTAGACTTATTATATACTAGTATTGTTGTAACACACCTTTTTGGTTTCTTGTAAAATGTGGTGGTTAATAACACTAGACAAAGAATAAGCATATGCACAAACATAAGGCCTTTGAGCTTAAATTGATGCAGCTAGCTTTAATACAATTGTTACATAAAATCCACAAATTAATTATTTTGGGTAATTTTGTTGAAGTTCATTGATTCGGTAAAGATGTGAAAATGCTACTATCTGAAGATTCTTAGACTAATTAGTTGATACTAATTCATTATTCCTTGGTTCTTTTGGGTAGGTTTGACATACCAAAACAGACTAATTAATTAGCATACAACTTTGCATTATATTTGGTTTCTCTACACCAACTTTAAAAAAGATTACATCTTTTCGTTTTCGGAACTCCAAAGTAGTGTAGTTAGACGGTAAAAATCTTGCAAAAATGGTGGTGACAAAAAGAAAAACTTGTAAATTGGTAAAAATACAGCACAAAATTCTCATCCCTTCACTGCTTCACTTCGCAATTCGCATATAGACGACTAAAGAGGGAGGAACATGTGGAATCGTGGGAATCAGACATAAAATATGGTTTAGTGGACACGTGTAACGAAGTATATGGTACACAACAAGTTACGAGGTACGTGTAAAAACCACATAGACGGCTTGTCACAACAGTGAACGTGTCGTTCTTTCTAGATTTAGTTAATTAATAATGTTATCTCATTTTGTTTTGGATATAACCAATATTGTCTCATTGTTTGCTAACACAAATCCTATAGAATTACTACACTATTTGTACTTTTGCACCGATAAAAAAAAGTAGAAGATGGCACTGTCTTAAGGAAAAGTGGAACCAATGGGTAAAGAAAGAATCAAAAAGAAAGAAAATATGGAAGAAGGCGTACCAGAAACAGAGAAGCTCATGATGAATCTACAAGATGTCGCAGAGAAGAACAAAGATCAATTACAAGAAGAAGAAGACGAAGAAGAGAAAGAAGCTAAAGGTGGGATTTTGAACAATCTCATATCCAACTTTATTGATGCAACAACAACAACAACAACAGTAGTAGACGGCAAATCTGGCGAAAACATTCAAAAAGTTGAACGTGAAGATGAAGCTGACAAGGAAAAAGAGAGCTCGAGTTCTGGAATCTTAGATAAGATCATTTCTCATCTGCCAGGTACTGCCTACGTTTTATGAGCTATTACGAGAGAAAAAATATACTAGTAAACATATATCATATATGTATGTTTGTGGTGCGGTAGTCTCGGTTTTAGTACTATCTAGATTCCATTGTGTAGATCAGTTAGACGCTTTGATGCAACTTCAGTGGTAGATGAAACGAGATAATAATAGTGTGTTAAGATGTGGACTAATGGAGTTTTGGAACCGGTTTAAGTAGATAGTTAATTGTTGTTAACTTGGTTTTAAATGACTTTTGATCCTGTAAAAAGCAGAGGACGCAGTTCCAACGACAGACGAGGCAGCTATTTTGATTCACTCTGCCATTGATTGACTGAAGCAGACTTCATTCAACGAGACAACGATCTCTTTTCCTATTTAATTTTGCTGGTTCTGTTTTGTAAGTTTGATTTTCGTCTTCACGAGGTTATATTTTTTGTGAATTCTAAATCTTCTCCAAGATCACTATCTAGTAGTCCAACATCTATATGGTATTCTCTTGTTAAGTTAGATCTGTTTTCTTTTTGTTTCAATATATACACATTCCACTTTTGAGCTAAATGGGGAATAATTGAGAATTAAACTATAACAGTTATTTCATGTTTGTGGTTAGTGAATTAAAGGCAAACATGGAACAAGAAATTTGAGAGGGATAGAGATTAATGAATGATTAAGTTCTTGAGGCTTTGTCTCACAAATACATCTCATATGTCATATCGCTTTGTAAAAGCACAAGAACCATCTTTTCACCATGGATATATTTCTTTCTCAAACATCTTTAGATATAATGGAACTGGAGAAGTTTAGTTATTGCAGTTGTGTCTAGAAAGTCTATAGATTTTGGCATTTGGCATACGAAACTTTAAGAGTGAAAGGGGATCTATAATGTAACTATGCTTTAAGATTTATAATATTTATTCTTACAATTTGAGATTAATATATTACGATAATTTCAAAACACTTAACACATAATTTAAAAGACAGAAATTACAAATAGACTAAAAATAAAAGAAAACCAATTTCAGGAAATAAATATTATAAAAACAAAAGATTTTAATGATTCCAAATACAAAAAAAAATACCAAAAAAGAAAATGGAACAATAAAGAATTGGTCAACTTATTATAAATAATAAGAATTTAGAATAGGGAAGCATATTTGAATAGTTTATTTGCCAATGTTCTAAGTGGCAATAGGGAGAATAACCAAAACAGGCTAAGTGATATTCTATATAAGAAAGATATCTTACCTATGGTGTACTTAGACATAGTCAAATGCTTTTTTAAGATAATAACTTAGTAGAAACTACACATTGCCACATTTACATGTTTATTTTCTAGCCATTCACATTCTTATTAATCGTTGTAACATTTGTCCTTATCTACTAATTAATAACTCTTTTATGGATTAAGTATAGCAAAAAAAAACTCTAAAGGAAGGATATCCCAAAAAAATTAATGTACACTACATTGCCTTTTCTATCAAATTTTTCCTTGGTATACTACATTGCTCCACCTTCTTTAGCATTTGAATTTTGACAATACATTTTCTTCTTCTCTGGTCTTTTTTTGTCAACGATGAAGAGTGGGAAGAACATATTTTCGAAGATCCGTGAATTATGTACTTCTCTGGTGAAAAAGACACATCTCAAGGAACCAAAGAAGCATAAGCACACAAGTCCTATAGTAACCATTGAAAGTGAAGGTACTTTTTTCTTACTTGTTGGTGTTTAAACGTTTGATTAAACAACTTTTTCCAGATAAAAACTATGTTTTCAATTCAATATTTTCACTAAAAAATTTCAGATTTTCTAATTTCAGAATAGAAAAACATAAACGAAAGGAAAAATTCAGTATAATTTTATCCTATATCAAATCCTTTTTTTTATGTATTATATATACTATTTGATGAACGAATGAATTTCTGATAAGAAAGTTTAAATACAGTGACTCTTAAAGATAAGAAAACATATAGACTTTATTTAGAGGAATTTAGAAAAGAAAAGAAAAGAAAAAGAACTTAAGAGCAAAGCTTTTGTTTGTCCAAAAAATAATAAAAGAGCAGAGATGCACACACTGGTATGTCTATTAAAATAAACATAAAATGACCCGAAAATTACTAATAAACACCCCAAATTTCTTTTTAAACATAACTTAACCAAATAAATTTGTTTGCTATGTAATTTTTATATAAAATATTTCAAACAAGAATAATTTTCTCAAAGTCATGTTTAACTAATAATAACTAACGATATGTGAGATTTTATTCTTAACCAGAACGAAATACGACGAATGGTTTAAACCGCCATACGACAAGGATGTACGGTAAGTTTGCTGCCATTACTAGATAACAAAGTCAAGTTATTAAAATATAAAGTCAGATTATTGAGAAAGTAGAATTTATTAAAGAACTAACCCATTTCGGGTATATATTATAGTTAGTGATTAAGGTTTAAAGAGGATTTGGTAACAAGGGTTTAGTTTATAAGCGAAGCTTAGTTGGCTTCAAGGTGTGTGCATGCTACAGAGGCAAACTTGCATATTGAATGTGACATGCGATTTCCTAATAACGAAAATCATCTTTGGAAAATAGAAGCACTATCCTTTTTTTTATTCGTAAGTTTCGACATGAAACTTTGTATTCGAATAGGTTCACCTCTTCGAATACAAAGTAATAAGCAGAAGTGTGTTCATTTTTGAATCTATGAATCTATTCTTTTTCATATTACATAATTAGAGGCCTAGCCTAGTATCATATATGGAAAATGATATTGGATGTTCTTACAGTTCTTTACTTTGATGTTTCTTTCTCTTAACTGAGTGTCATGTCTTTAGGGTTGTTATAACATATGGTCAGTCGAATCATCGTCACTAGAATACACAGATCTATGACGCTTAAACTCTTGTATTTCATGGTATATAATATAGATAGATCACCATTTTATGGATAAAAATGGCTTGTGTTTTGGTATAAGAGCCAAGCTGTTTCTTCATCATGTACCATAAGGTACAAGCGTTTAATTGTTGGTGATCTATGTGTTATACATTTGCGGGTGATGCGTACCCAATACAGATTTTCTTTATGTATACTCGTTAAACGAGTACATAATTAATCAAAATAAGATTTTTTTCTTTCTCCTCAATCATATTCTCATGAGAGATATTTTACGAAAATGACATCATCATGTAATCTCTAATTATAATGATATTCAAATAGGTATTAGTTTACGTAAAGTCTTTTTGTGTAATATATAGTTAACTAATAACTTGCCTAAAATGTGAGAGCTGATCAATGTTTAAATTTTTATTAAAAAAATATAAATAAAAATTTACATTTTTCACACGTAAAATTATGAAAATACAGTATATCAAGTATTTATCACTATAGACTATAAGGAAAAAATTATTTAGGAAACAAAACACATTAGTTTCTTCCCCATTGGTTATCACTTCATTGAACGAAATAAGTTTTTTGAATTCGTTTAGAGAGTGACTAGTCGTCCAAATTTCTTAGTTTTTGTTTTTCTAGTACTGTATATGTATTGGGATTTAATCATGGGTTTGCCCAAAAAAAAAAAAAAAAAAAAAATCATGGGTTTACTTGATATATATATATATATATATATTTATGTTTTTTTTTGTGGGTAAAAGGTTAAGTTGTTTACTTGATATATGTTGCAGGGAAAAGTGAACACCTAAATCAAATTTACAAGGACCTACTCTCAAAGGAGCCGAGACCAGCAGACCTCATAAAATTGTGGGAGTTGTTCGATGTTCGTTCTGCTCCTCCACAAGATGACCAGGAACCCAACATGGCTGCTGGAACCGAGACAGTGATTGTCCAAACCGAAACCTCAGGCCGAAACTGAGCGTCGACGTTCTCGATGGATATGTTATGTTTTAACTTAATCCATCATTTTATCAGTAATGTTTTGTTTGCTATATGGAATTGGATATTTTTGCTTTGATGTCTCTGTTTCATCTACATTAATCTCTTTTTTTAAGCATCTTCTATGTTGATGTTTTTTTATTGTCTTTCAATAATTCAATAAGCATAAAACACACATCACATGAAATAAGTAAAAAATTTTTTTAAAAATCAATTATTGTATTGCTAAGAACCAAAAAAGAATGAATAATTGAATTACTACATTACATTACTAGAACAAACTTCTTCAAACCAATTTTTTATCTATACAAATTACTTGAATCAAAGAATAATAATGAAAAATATAAATGTCGTATTTGTATATAGATCCCTTCTTCTTTATTCTTTTTCCTTAAACCCCCCAAAACTTTCCTTTACTCCTCATTTGATCCTAAATCTTTACCTCCCTCACCTCCAGATCCAATCACCGCCGTCTCCGTCTCCACCTCAGTCTCCGGCCTAATCTCCTCAAGCTGATTCACCACCTGATTCGCTTCTGGCCTCGCCGCCGGTGACGGATCAACACAATGTAAAGCCAATTTCAGAGTATTCAAAAGCTCATCACCAACGCTTTGCGTCTCTCTCATCAGCTCCAAGTCGAACACTTCATTAGTCCACTCTTCTTTCACAATCGAAGCTACCCACTGAGGCAAATCCATCCCATTCGTTGGCTCTCCTGGAGATTTCCCAGTCAGAAGCTCCAATATGATGATCCCTAAGCTGTAGACATCGGTCTTAGTGCTTGCGTTCTTGATTTTGGAAAATTCCGGTGCTCTGTATCCCAATGTTCCGGCGGTTGCGATTACGTTTGTGGCGGCTGCGGCGGTCATGAGTCTTGAGAGACCGTAATCGGCGATGTGAGCGTTGGTTTGTTCGTCGAGGAGAATGTTGCTGGCTGTGAGATTCTCATGGATCATGTTCTCGTTGCTGTGAAGGTGAGCTAATCCACGACTGATTCCTTTTGCTATCTTCAGTCTTGTTTCCCATGGAATTAGGGTTTCTGGTCCTCGAGCTGTCAAATTCAATCAATCAGATCAATAAAAATGTGAACTTTATACAATCCAAAGCTTGGGTTTTTGTTTAACTTTGCTTACCGTGAAGAAACGCAGAGAGACTGCCCTTAGACATGTAATCAAAGACGAGAAGCTTCTCTCCTTTAGGTCCTAAGTAGTAAGCTCTGAGTGCGAGCAGATTCTGGTGACGAATCTTGCCTAAAGCTGTGACTTCTCCTTCGAACTCTTTGACTCCTTTGGTTGTTTTCTCTCTCAGACGCTTCACAGCAACTTCATTGCCGTCTTCTAATGTGGCCTTGTATGCTGTGCCGTAAGTACTTTTTCCCATGATCTCAGCTGTGGCACATAGTAGATCATCGGCGGTGAATACAAACGGACCATCGAAATGAACTAGCTTTCCTCCCATTTCACCTCCTGTTGATGCTGTTGCTGCAGCAGCTGCAGATACTGTCTTCTCTGAGGTCTTGTCCTTCCCGTCTTTTTGTTTCAGCGCAGCGCGTTTCTTGATCAGGCAGCAGAGTAATATGCAGCATAGTAGAAGCAGAATGGCTAGAAGAGCTCCAATGGCGATCAGAATGATATCCTTCACCGAGAGTTTTCTGTGGTGCTTTTTTGGTTCTTGTGATGACGTAGGTGAAAGAGTGAGAGGATGATGGTGATCAGGAACAGGGCATGGATTTGAGGAGCTGTATCCACATAGCTGAATGTTTCCAACGAAAGAGCTTGAGTTGAATTTCTTGGAGAGAATAAGTGGAACAGGACCAGAGAGGGTGTTGTAAGAGACGTTGAATGAAGAAAGGTTCGCCAGGTGGACTAGTGACAGCGGGATTGGACCTGTGAAGTTGTTTTCTGACAGATCCAGCTGTTTGATTCCAGATATGTTCCCTATTCTCTCTGGGATTGAACCATTGATCTTGTTTCTCTTGAGGTTAAGCTCCGTCAGGTTGTGCAGTCTATCAATGGCATCTGGGATTGGGCCTTTGAGGTGGTTGCTTTCGAGGTTCAGTGAAACCAGAGATGTAAGGTTGGAGAAACTGTCTGGGATGGTTCCGTTGATTGAATTGTAAGAAAAATCAAGTCTCTGAAGGTGTGGAAGAGCTCCACATTCTCTGGGAATAGAACCTGAGAGCTGGTTATGGCTTAAAGAAACCTCTTCCAACAAACTATGTTTGCATAGAGACAAAGGAACAGCTCCAGAGAAGAGATTATGGTCAAGATTCAGCGTTTTGAGAGGTTGAGAGCCATTAACCAAAAAATCGGGTATAGAACCAGAGAGGTTGTTATGCTGAAGATCAAGAAAAGTGAGGGTGTATGATTTGGCTACACTAACCGGAAGGGGACCAGAAAGTGAATTGAAGCTGACATTGAGCCTATAGAGCCTCGTGGATTCAGCAAGACTAGCCGGTATGATTCCGGTCAGCTGGTTATTGCTGAGATCGAGACTCTGGAGAAGAGGGCAGTTACCCAGTGAGGCCGGGATTGAACCAGAGAGGCGATTGTTGAAGAGATAGACCCCGCGGAGGCTCTTGAGGTAGCCGAGAGAGCGAGGAACCGAACCGGCGATAGCGTTGTTGTGGAGGCTAAGTTTTCTGAGACTTCCAAGCTGTCCAATCTTCTCAGAGATAGTGCCACCGAGTCCCTTCCAAGGGAGCTGAATGGCGACCACTTGACCCCGGAGGCATTTGATTCCAGACCAGCCAGAGCAAACTTCAGAGGAGGCAGAGTTGTTCCAGCTTCTGAGAACTCCGGTGAAGTCAATGAGTTCATGTTTGATCGCTTGGAGCGCCTGATAGTTCCCTTGAGTCACCACGATACCATCCCAAGAGTGACCACCACCACCACCTGCAACAGCTTGAGCAGAGAAGAGTGAGAGACACAAAATGAGACTAAATTCATAAATTCGAAATGAGCTTTTGTAAAGATCATTCATTTCAAAAGAATCAAAGCTTAAAGAAGAAAGAAAAAAATAGAAAACGAAGAAGAAAGATGAGAAGAGCAGGGGAGCTTGAGTTCTTGGTTTGTTCTCCTTCCTCTATATTTTTTTTTTGGAGTACAACCAAAGAGAGAGAGAGAGAGAGAAAAGATTGATGTTGTTTAGTGAGAGAGAGGAAATGAATAAGTTGGGTGAGTGAGTGTTATAGCAAAAGACTAATTATGGTTGGAGTGACGAGGAAGAAGACAAAGACAAAGAGTTTAGTTTATGTTTTTATTTGTAACGGCTAGTTTTTTTTTTTTACTTCTTGGTCTTGCGCCAGAATAAAAACGGTAAGCGAGAAAAACATGACCAACGGCTATAAAGTCATTCCGACCGTTTCTAATCATTCATTATAATTATAATTGTCTTCTAGAGTCGTTGGATTTTAATCTATTCCGACCAAATTCACGAACTAATCTTATGACCTGTGGTCGGAATCTTCACACTTTTGGCTACGTCAGTCCTAGTACCAATCTTGACACTTTTGGCCACGTTAGTCCTAGTACCAGGCCACGTGGGTAGTACGGTAATAGTACGTACTCACTAGACGATATTTCGTGGTTATATGAAAAAATTTCTGACAAAAACATACGTAAAAACTAAGTACCTATACATTTTTTTTTTGTTCGTTTTGTAAACGTCTAGATTAAATAAAAGTTTCTTTTTTATGGTTGTTGGTTCAGCAACTAATTTCTTTCCTAGAAATGGTTCACTGATTAGTGATTAAAAAAAAAACAAATTAAATTAGCGTTTTAAGATTGGATTAGTGATTAGCACTAAATGTTGGCGCTGCCATCAGCACCTAAAAGAGCGTTTGAGTTCTTAGGTCTAACACAAAACAAATTTGCCAAAGGTTCATTGCCAAAAGTAAATCAGAAAAAACCACACAGAAGATTATTGTAATCAGTTTAACAAAACCTTAAAAGGGATTCAATAGAATACATGATAGAGTCAATTCTTGTAGCGATCCTTATATACACAAACGCAAACAGACATTTTTCATGGTTGTGTTTGAATCCATCAATACATATAGACAGTAACCAAGTCTGCAACAATTCTTATGAAGCAGCACGTGTTTAAATTTTATTACGGCATCTTTCTAACATTTCAAGAATCCGCCAACGCTGGCTGCCTGAGAACCGATTTCTCAGCTGGACACGCCCGTAAAAGTGTGCAGATGTCGTTTTTCACTAGGAATTCCTCTGCATTTACTAGGATCAGGGGTCCATACTCGAACACCAACTTCTTGCACTGTAATAACACAAGACGACACAACACCATAATATTAGAAAAGCTTAAGTTAACTACTATGTGATCAGGCAGTTGTGTTGCACAAGTTCACATCAATATTCATAATCTTGTAATATTCATAAACAGATGGTTGACTAATAAATACAAGATTATGAGTATTGATTTGATCATTCTAACCTTCTTCTCGTAGTTCTTGAACGATTTGCATCCCTTGAGAAGCATTTCAACGATATCCAGCTGAACAAAATAAGAGAAAACAAAGTCAGTATATGAAACTCATCATCAGTATAAGAAAAGAAAAAAAAAAATCTTCATGAGGATTCTCTACAAAGATCCCTGCTAGTTGAACACAGTTAACTGTTTTTGCTAGTTGAACACATTTAACTGTTTGAGACTGACAAAGCAAACTAGACTACACAAGGGCATAGCAGCTTGGACTGTGATCAGTGTGCTATGAGTCTACACGTAATACATAAGTGACAAAACAAATACTGTGATAGAGAAGAGACAAAGCCATCATCTAGTAGTTACTACTAACCTGTATGTCAGGATCTTGAAGTTTAATAAGAATCTCAGAAACAGTCCTGTGGCATACACCGCAACTGTCCTGACGTACGTCTTCTACAAGAGTAACCACTCTGCCACAAAGATTCATCCTCTTGCAGAAATAGTGAGGTTGAAACGACTCCAGTTGTAAGAAGAAGAGAGGAACATAGTAATCAACCAAAGTTATGCACTGCATCAAACACACGGATTATTCAACACAACTGATATGTTATTATTAACAAAAAACAAAAAGAGTCTAAAGAAAATGTAGGGTTAAGGATCAGCAAAAGGAGAGAGAACCTGCTGCGAAAATCCACGCAGTTGGGAACACCGTTCATGAAGATTCTCGATGATCTCGGCTTGTGTGACATTTTTCTCAAGGTAGGTGAGAGCATCAGTCACATATTCCTCACACAGAGTGCAAACGTCTTCCTTATTAGAAACTTGCTCTACACAACGAAAAGTTGAAAATTCTTCTAATCAAATAAGACTATCTGAGCCATAGAAATTGAGTGTTGAAATATTTCATCTACTTCAACCCCCCAGCCATAGATATCAATTATTTTTTCATGAAAAGTATCAAAACCAAACCATAAACTGATAAAAGAGCAAGCTTTTAGATAGAATCAAGCATGAGGAAATGGTATTTACCAGAGAGGGTGGAGTCAACGAAAGATCTAGCCTCAGAAACAAAGATCAAACCCAACAAGAGAAGAACCAATGTTCCAGCTCTGAGACTCATGATTCCTGACACAATATCAGATTACAGAATAATTCACAACTAAGAGTCTTTTTACCACAGATTTAATTTAAGAAACCTCTGGATCGGAATGAATCACAAAGTAGGGAGATTCAACCAAAAAAGAATGAATCTTTAAGTAAGAGATGATGATGGTGTTACCTTCTTCTTTTTATTTTTTCAGAAAAAAACTTAGCAAATGATTGGTATATAGAAGAATCTGGTGGAGTTGGAGAAGAAGAAGAAGAAGGAACGAGTTACCAGATTCGTCGAATTGGTCGGGATTGCGTAATCGAAGAAGGTGTTCTCACGCTAGAAGCAATTATCCAACCACGTAAGCATCATCGATCGGCTCGGCTTGTACTTGTGGCTAAATTAATATTCGAAAATAATATTATGTCACAATTATTTTCTTTTGTAGCCAAAGGCCGGTCTGAAAATTTCAGGCCCAAACCATTAAACGATTTAAACCAAATTTGTGTTCCATTTAGATTTAAGTAGTTAAAAAGTTTTTTTTTTTTTTTTTTTTTTTTGGGTGATATGTATGTTCAACACCTATTACTTATGCCGGGCATTTCGTGATCCCTAAGACACATATGTTCCCTGTGGAAAGTTTTCCTGCCGCAATGCGCCGTATCCAGTATCCTTTCAAACTTGCATTCGCCATGACTATAGATGATACTCGTGGCCAAACCTTTTCCAAGGTTGGTCTATATCAAAGGTATCTCGCCATATCCAAAGTGAAGGATACCCCAGGAAGATGCGGATAATCTTGTCTTCAAGTTGTTTCGGGATGTTTAGTGAACCAGGTCTTTTTTTCAGGCCATATAATGATGTTACCTGTTTATGGTGTGGCTTCCTCTGTTCTTCGTTTTGTCTTTTCTTTTCTTCCCCTTCTGCTTCTGCAGCATAACTAAAAGACTTTCGATTTATGTGATGTATATGTAACATCATGCATAATTTGAATCTCAATAAACAGTTTCTTTGAAAGACAACATAAACACAAACCACAAACACAAAATATTCATTTGTTTGTCTTTTCTTCTCCATATGATTCATGACACAACTTTGCTAGTGATTGGTGGTGGTGGTGAGACTCACTAATCCATTAAATTTTATTATTATCCTTCATTTATAAAAGAAAAACAAACCATATCTCATTTCACTATTTAGCATGAACCAATAGTCCAATACACTTCCAAAACAAATACAAACACAATTGCTTGATACCAGAAGACTCACAAACTCCTAAGATTTCGATTGATCATTTCAATCACTCACTTATTACATTAAGTTCAAAGCTATCTTCTTCTTCTTCTTCTTGTTCTCTTTGTTCAAAATCACTGACAAGTTTGCAAATCCGAACCTCTTCCTCTTCCCATTGAACCTTTTTTCCTTTTCTTTCCCTTCACCATTTCTATCTCTACTAATGTTAGTCTTTCCAAGAATCTGACCCAACGAAACTCTCCCATTCATCATCATCGCTGACTCATCCGCAAGAAGCAGTTTCCTACTGAGTATCTGCCCAATAGACATTGTTGGTTTCATGACAGCAACTGAGGATGATGTCCCATCACCGTTCATCATCATATTCAGACCATTTACATCCATCAGAAAAGGGTTCTTGAGCTTGGCCGAACATGATGATCTCCTCCTCCGTTCTGTCCACTGCCAGTTTCCTTCCTCTGCTTCCGTTTTCGCGGTATTCGCTTTCTCCAATCCTTCTTCAAGTGTCCTCCTGCTGCTTCTAATTTCTCTAGCTGTTTCATCAATCGTCTCAAGAATCTCCTCCTGCAGCGTCTCCTCATTGTCTCCTCTTCTTCTTCTTCTTCTCCTTCTAGTAACCGCCTTGATTTCAGCAATAGCAACTGCTTCAGCCGCTCTAGCAGCTTCCTTCATCTTTCTAGCAGCGATCAAACGCATCTCCGCAGCTTCAATCTTATTTCTCGTTTGTTCAATCTCAACCACAGCTTTATCAACGGCACACCGAACATTCTCTCCTGTTCTACAAAACTCATTAGTCTCATAGCTTAATCTCTGAATCTCTTTGGACATTTCAGCAGCATTCTCAGAGTTTAGTCTCTCTCGTGCCTTGTCAAGTCCAGCTCTTTCCTCCTCCAGTCTCTTGTTCAGTAACTCAACAGACTCACGAATAGCAGCCAGATCTTTAGTTGTATTGCACAGATTCATCTTCGCTTGGTTCAGTTCCTTGAGAACATTCATGTCAAAGTTTTCTTTCTCTTCCTTGTTCTGTAGCTTTGATTTAAGCTCTTCAACAATGGCTTTGGTCGACTCGAGCGACTTCAACACCTTTAAAGTTTCTCCTTCTTTTTCAATTAGTTCCTTCTCTAACTCACTCGCTTTCACAACCATACCAGCTTCGTCCACATCGTTCTGCATCCCCAACAACAACAAAAAATCAAAACTTTCGCATCACAAGAAACAATTAAAGCCAAGATCAATCTAGAAACAGATGAATATCTAAAACCCATTTCAATTAAAACCCCTAAACCCAAAGAACTGGACAAAATCAATGAGAAAGACAGAGACTTTGAAGTAGAAATAAAGACCTTATTAGAAGCTTCGGAGATGTTAAGGGAAGACGGTTTCCAAAAACCAAAGCCGCCAAAGCGAGTGGCGGCTTCTCTCACCGACTCGAATGGCGCCGAAGTGTCGATTTCCCCGACGAGGGAAGGTTCTAAGATTTCAGCCATTAAAGACAAGAAGTTGGGAAGAAGATGAAGTAGTGAGAAAGAGAGTGAGACTGTGAGAGTGATGACAATCAAAACTGTTGTTTCCTTCGATACTACTAGTGTGAACAAAAGACTTTATAATATATATCTCAACGGTCTCTTGTATGTAATAAGGAAAAGGGATAATTAAAGTTGAATAAAGAAAGCTACAAGTATCCGTTGTCACTCTTCTCAGTTACTTACTAGTTTTGTCTTTATTTCAAGTTTATATACACTTTACATTTCCCAATCCAATCTTGTTATTTTAATAGGAAACATTAATCTTTCCTTAAGAAGGGCGGTGGTAACCAATCTTTGTCATTATGTTGTTTATTAAACAGATATTATAGATAGTCCCAGCAAGTGAGATTAAAAAAATGTCCTCTCAGTGAAAGAATCTGTCAACCGTTGGATCTAATTTAAAATGTGGTCTTACTTTAGTTTTTTTTTTTCCTGAATTGCCTTCTCACTCACCGTTGATATGCTACTTATTACTTATTAATCTCCTTAAAATGTTCATAGTAGAACTTTTGCTGGAGAAAGAGAAAGAGGAGAAAAAGAAAGTAAAAGAATATATGAACCGTTGGATTAGTAGAGGGGGAGTAGTGGCGGAGTCGGCTGAGTCAATGATGGAGTTTATGTCACTTTATGGTGGTGGGGATCACTGACGGTAACAAAGGCAGGGCCACATAATGAAAGATCTCAGTTTTAAAATGGCACTATTTTCAACTAACCGTTGGACGTTAAAAGAAGCGAGATCTATGACAAAAGAGGCGTTTCATGCCACTTGGCTCTGCCTTGTGACTAATAAGTTCCCATTGAAAAATTTATCCAGAAAAAAAATCAAATTCTATATTTACAAAATTATCCAAACCTAATCTCTTACAGTGGAAATGGGGAAAACACTGTTCTTTTGCTTTTTAAAGGAAATATATATTATTATAATTGGTGACCATTTTTTTTTTTTTTGTGTGTATACCAATTACCAAGGACATATATAATACTATAATAGAGTTTTGACATATATGTTCGATAACTAGTGAACATGATTGATTAGCAATAATATTTAGCTTACGTGAAAGAATGAGATATGTCATGCGGCTTCAGACTTTAGCATCAAGTTTTTACGTTGTAACCGAATGCTTTGAATCAAATCTAAGGCTAATGCCAAATTAAAATGGATATAGGCTTTACAATCTTCGATGTGCGACACAGCTTTATATGGAAAAATCCAAAACCAAGAACTATCAAGAAATTCTTGATTCTTGACAAGAATCTGTATTCCGCTGCGGCAGTGGCGGCGGCGGCGGCTGCTGCGACGAGCTTTTCCGACGCTTTCTAATGAAATAAAAAGCAAATCCAGAGAGAAGCAACAAAATGACAAAACCATCTATACCTCCAACTAATCCCACGACCCATTTCCTCATATTAGATTTCTCATCACCCAATCTCACTCCTTTTGGAATCTTAACCATATAACTCAATCCACTCACTCTCTCGATCTGCTTCACACCCATCACCACCCCATACATGACACAACTCTCATCAGAAACAGAGTAACTAGCAGCTCCACACTCACAATCTTTCTTACACAACTCTTCACATCTTTCTTTTCTCACGTTTCTCACTTGTGTCCCGTTTCCTAGCACTGTAGTGACTCCTTCTAGCTCAACCATATCGTGATCGCATAACCTCTTAACAGAAACCGGTTCGTCCACGTTACTACTGCAATCACTATTTCCCATGACCTTAATGCAAGAACAAGACTTTGAGAATGTACAGATTCCGTATGGTTTACATGCTACAGGAAGATCACAAGTGTTGCTCACAGCTTGAAACGTTGCCTCGAACTTTCCCTTTTCCGGTTTATACGAATAAAGTCCCAAATTACCGGTTCTGTTCCCAAGTGCCAAGAATCTGATCAACGGTTGCTCTATTCTCCCGATTATGTGGCTGTTGTCGTCGAATAGGTCAAGACCCTTTGACCCTAATCTCACGAAGTTGACTGTTTTGTTCTTTTCTCTAGGCGTGTACTCCCAATAAGAGTACTTGAGCTTGTTCAAATTGAGAAACAGAGCAATCTTGTCGCGTAAAACTTCAAAGGAATAAAACAAAGTCGAGTCGTTTGGGAATGAAGTTAGTTGCGTAGCTACGTCTAGTCTTTGACCACTCAACATCACATCTGTTGGGAAATTAAAACTTTGCCATTTTATCAGATTCTTAGCATCAAGCAACACTAGGTTCCCTGTGCTTTGTATCTCCAACCTCTGCAAAAATTTAGTTTCCAAAACACAATTCTTTCACATATCTTGACATTAAAAAAATGATGGTTTTACTTCAAACCAATCTAATTTGGTACCTCAACGCCTTGTCCTGAGGTTCCACTTCTCCATCCAACGCGTTTATTGTTACTCTTTAACCTCAAGTCTCCATCTTTTGTGAGCTCGATGATACATTTGCTAGAAACGTACATCTTTGAGTAATGACCTGAGCTCCAAACTCTTACATCTCCAAGGAAAACTTGGAGGGAACACAAATATCGTCCATCATCTTGGTCGCTTGATTCCATCGTTAACGCGGCTTTGAAACCAGGTTCTGTTGTTGATGATGATGACTCTGTCTCCATTATATAAGCTTTCCCCATAAAACCGGGAGCGTATTCTAGAGGAGAAGTTAGCGTTAGAGAATTGCCAAGGCTGATATCTGATTTGCAGTGACCTTGGAGCTTAGAGAACAAGCAGATCAACAAAGTGAACGTATAGAACTTCATCATCACGATCATAATATGCTTTTGCGGCTGCCTTGAGTTCTCAGAATTATCCGGGAAAAGAAGAAAGATGATAAGAAAAAGAATAGTATAATGGGAAAAGTTTTGGTATGAGTGTGTTTTTTCTCTCTACACTTTTGCAGGGAAAAAGGTTTCTGCTTTCATGTTGCCTTTTGTTTGATTGTTCTTGTTTTCATATTTTACCCCCTATATTTGGTATGTTTATTATACTTTTTTAACTCAAAAATGTTTATCTAAAGCTATACACAGATTAGAAATTTGATATATAAGTTCAGTGTTTCAACTTATTCGTATAATAACTCTAAAAAGTTTCGAATAGTAGAGCAAGAGAAACAGAAGATGGGCGATGCACGCTTGGTCTTCCACAGGCTGTCCATGTGGGGTTCTTTCTTGACCCACAAATACAATGTAGGGTTTGTTTCCTTTTTGTTTGTAAATTATACTAAGGTATGTCTACATCTATTACATTGGACGTGGATTGTATTTAACATATAGTATGTAATGCAATATGAGTTTTCTCTATGATCAGCTAATTGATATTGGGTAACAACAAGCATAAGAGAGTATTAAAACAATGACGATTAGAGGATTGACTAAAGCTTTATATGTAGTAGGCTTGAGAGTGGGGAAGTAAAGCATGTACATGTTGGGAATTAGGTGAGATTTGTTTAGTACTAATAACTTTAGTTGGACTATAAATAATTATTGATACTGGCGTAAAGATGATGGACCACGATAAGTGGCGATCCCTGTCATTGTCTCTGTTATTACGTGTAATTCATCTATTCTACACTATCTAGTGCTCTGATGTCAGCGATGCGTATGAACGTACACCCTTGGGCCTGCCAAAATGAGCTCTAACACTTGGGTGGGTCTAAAGGCTTTCTAGATTTCGGCCCACGCAAACGCAATGTGGCCTATAGGGTTGATTACGGGTTAGTGGATTGTGGTATATTATATTTTGAGTGATGAGAGCAAATAACATACTATCAAATGGATTACGCACCTTTCTAGTATTTGAATTCATCATACTGATTGAGAAATCATTATACTGCACTGCTGTTCAATGGTATTCCAAAACCTCTTAATGTTAAAATTCCATTTAATAATAGTAATTAGTGTTAAAATTCACGAGAATAAATAAAGATTTCCGTTACTTTTTTAAAGAATTTAAATTAAACAATTAATTATAAGTTCCTTTTGAAATTATGGAAAGAAATTTAAAAAAGGGAATCCTAATTTTGACAAAAAAGGAAATCCTAATTAAACTCAACTTCTATATAGCGGTTAGAAAAATATGCTTATAAAAGCTCCAAGAAATTTTGTATTTAGCCGAATTCATTAGAAAACGATTCAGAAACTGCTACAATCATGGCCTTAATGCGCGAACACTCCTCTTCCTCCTCCTCTACTCCTCTCGATGCATCGAAGAAGATCAAAGTGCAGATCACTAGAACGTGGCAGGGAAATAACACAGAATCAGACAACTCTATCGATATGGTTTTACTCGATTCATAGGTATGTCTTTTTTTATCTGAATTTATATACGCTTATCAATTTCATTGTTTGTTAATCACTTAGTACAGTTTTTTACAAAATCTTTAACATGTCTTTAATTTTTGTCATACATACTTCGTAATTTGATGCATATGAATTACTAGGGCATAGTAATTATCTATAACGATTTTTCTTTTTTTGTTTACTCATTACTCTCATGTAATGTTGTAGTTCCTTAATCATTTAACTTGTTTGGAGTATTTTAATTTCTATATCATGATGTTTTGGTTAATTGTATACCAGGGGACAAGAATTCACACAACTATTGATGAAAATGAAGCTTTCTCTGAATGGATTTCGGAGATCGGTAATGGAAGGATCAACAATCCAAATGATAGAGAAACTGAAGTTGATATCTCTGAAGATTTGCTGATAACTGAGTGCAACGATCCTATCAAACCTATAGTGAATCAAGTTTATGGAGAATCTTTTGCAGAGTCCCATAATCTTGATTTCTATCAAGAGAAGGCTATTTTGTGTCATACTGATGATGTTGTGGATCAGATTAATGATTATATGATTTCACTCTTACCAGGTAAATGTTCTCTTAATGCTTTTCCATCTTTCCTCTTATAGTCGTTTTATGCACATAGTACTAACCTACGACTTCATTATATCATGTTAGGTGAAGAGCAAGTATGTTACAGCGCTGACAGTATCTATACATCGACCCCAAATGACGATATGCTATACCCTTTGGAGTTTTTGAATAGCCTCAATCCCTCTGGACTGCCTGGCTTTAAGTTGAGATTAAAGGTTGGTGCTCCCGTCATGTTACTAAGGGACCTTAATCCTAGCGAAGGGTTTTGCAAGGGGACAAGACTTCAAATCACTCGGCTGGCTAGATTTGTGCTTGAGGCTAGGATTATAACAGGTAATAGGCGTGGTGAGAAAATCTTGCTCCCTAGGATACCCGCATACCCAAGCGATGCAGATTATCCTACCAAAATAAAGCGTAATCAGTTTCCTCTGAAGCTTGCATTCGCCATGACCATAGATGAAGGTCAAGTGCAAACACTTTCAAAAGTTGGTCTTTATCTTCCAAGAAGAGTGTTCTCTAATGGACAGATGTATGTTGCCATATCCAAAGTGAAGTCCAGTGCTGGTTTGAAAGTTCTCATCACAGATAAAAATGCGGCAACCGATGAAGAAACCAAGAATGTGGTGTTCAAGAAGGTGTTTTGAGAACATTGTGTTAGTGTTATCTATTTGGTCTTTTCAGGTTGCAAACTGATTTGCTTTTATGTCATTTTGCTTTTCGTTGGTTTTAGGCTGTTTCAGACTACAATGTTCTACACATCCTGCTCTAATAATAAAACAGTTTGAGTTTCAGTAACGGTTTTTTTTCTGAAAGTTAGATTAACCAATAGATGCTTCACAGTTTATCAGAAACACATTACTACTAACCATAGTAGCAGGTGGACTAAGAGCTAACGAAGTCCTTTTTAGCTTTCCCACTTGAGGAAATTCAAGAACCGGTTTAAACAGTACCAATAAACTAGGCGTACAAGGCTTATTAGTTAAACTCAAACGGGCTTCATCAGGCCTGGACTTTCAAATAATGTTTTCTTTTTTCGTAATGAATTTTAACATTCAATTATGTATGCATTTAGAACACTTATAATGTTAGGTGCATCGAGATGATGTGATATGATGATGACAACGAAGAAAAAGGTCTGGTTGAGCTGTATTTTCCATTCTTCTATGTGATACAATAAGTTATGATCAACACTATTTATTTTTAACCCAGAATATGATTAAAAGGCTATAGTCTATCCCATATGATTCGATCTTCAAAGATTTGCTAAGCGAGTTTTGCATTAGTCTATATTTAAGTTAAAGATTGATTTTGGTAGATTTAAGTCCTCAAACTTGACAAATACTATAAAGCTAATTAATTAGTGGTCCAATGGTTCATGGTACGTCAGGCGCATCTTTCATATATTGTATGAGACGCAATTGGTCGATCAAATTACACTCCTGGCACTTGCACGCATGGTATATACTTGTACAGATTAGAGTCAGAGTAATTTTCACTATGGTAAAAGTGATTAGTACATACATAAAACAATCAGTTGAATGGATCAACCGACGATGACACTGATGACCATTGCTCTAAAACCTTGAGGAACACTAGATTCTTAGAGTTATTTTGGCTAGGAACTCTACATAAATATATTGGAGTTTATATTTTTCCCACATATCAGTTTTGAGGTCTTATAACACTTTAATATTGTTTTTAATCATACTGATTGCCCTTTTGATAATTGATATAAACAAACGAATAGACTAATTAAGTCGCATTTCTTCTAGATTTCGGAATCTTGCCAGAACATTGCCACCATCATTTCACATTGATCTGGAGAAACAATAGAGTTGTTAAAACTTAAAACTAATGTTACCAAAAGGTCCAAAACTACTAGTCTTGATCCGCCACTAAACGATCTCCATTCCTAAGTTCACTTAACTCCCAACATACAACAACCAAGTAAAAGTTTAAACAACTATTTTCTGAATTCTGATGGTACAACTCAGATTTTGAAAATCAGGACCTTGGTGAAAGTACATAAAAGTATATTTAACTATGACTCTACATGAGTATCAGAGATAGAGATGCTAATCCCATATTTTATAGTGTTTCGTACGGTAACATTTAAGTATATATCTTCTTACCTCAGCCCTTTTGTTATTGAGGGTGATGTGGATTGATCTGGTAATTAATTAATTACAAGATATATCTCGTACATAGGCTATGACTTTTTCATTGCCAGCTTAATACATATATAGAAGCTAGATCTCATATCTAATCAGTACTACTATTTATTATTTTCTTCTAGATTCGTTCGTAACATCAAATCATCAATGATATTATTCCAAAATTATTTTGAATTTGTTTCGAGATTGTGGTAATTAATACCAAGTACGTAGATCCGGCTGACACAAATAAGTTTATTAATCATCTCATAAACTCAATTTATTTCATCAAATTTAACAAGTATCCAACTTACACAATAAAAAATATATAGTTTCTTTGTCTTTCTATCTGTTAGCTTTTGTGTAGATACTAAATTATTATTTAGAATGATTCCAAATACTTTAGCATAATTGGATTGGATGTTTCACACTGGTTCGGAAGTACTTCAACTTTTGTATCCCCTATAAATCGTCACATTGATGTGTGTATCTCTACTATTCAATTCCAGCTTCAAAATCTCCCTCTCACCGCTTCTTACCATCTCTACTTCTCTCTCTCAACTCCGACATGCCGGCCCAAGTGATCTCTGAGCAGACCTTTCACTCCCTCCACGACACACTTATGGAGGAAATGAATACAACTGTATATCATAAGAGGTACACTATCTACATTATTGATCGTCGGACGATTATTATTTTTAAAAAGAACAATGAGTGTAGTGATGGTTAATTATCTAAAATTAATATCACGAACTGATAATGTATATATATATATTTCATAGGCTAGAAGGAAAAGTAGCTATCATCACCGGAGGAGCACACGGGATCGGCAAAGCAACCGTCATACTATTCGCTAGACATGGTGCCACGGTGGTGATTGCTGACATGGACAACGTAGCTGGCTCTTCCCTGGCTAAGTCACTCTCATCCCACTTAACAACCTCGACGGTGGCATTCATTAGCTGTGATGTCTCGGTCGAAGCTGACGTGGAAAACCTCGTGAACGTAACGGTCGCACGGTACGGTCGGCTCGACATTCTCTTCAACAACGCGGGGGTTCTCGGCGACCAGAAGAAACACAAAAGCATATTAGACTTGGACGCGGACGAGTTCGACACCGTGATGCGTGTGAACGTACGAGGTGCAGGGCTCGGCATGAAACACGCGGCACGTGCCATGGTCAAGAGAGGGTTCAAAGGCTGCATAATCTCGACGGCTAGCGTGGCCGGTGTGATGGGTGGGATGGGGCCACACGCTTACACGGCCTCGAAACACGCCATCGTTGGTTTGACCAAGAACGCAGCGTGTGAGCTAGGCAAGTACGGGATTAGGGTTAACTGTATATCCCCGTTCGGAGTTGCCACGTCGATGTTGGTGAACGCGTGGCGTAAGACGAGTGGTGGTGACGTGGAAAATGATGAGGTGGAGGAGATGGAGGAGTTTGTGAGGAGTATGGCTAATTTGAAAGGAGAGACATTGAGAGCGAATGATATAGCTGAAGCAGCGTTGTATCTGGCGAGTGATGAGTCTAAGTATGTGAACGGACATAACCTTGTTGTTGACGGTGGTGTTACGACTGCAAGAAACTGTGTTGGTTTGTGATCATCAATGTATGTGTGTGTGTTTTCAATTCTCTAATTGATCTGTTAATTAAATGGATTTGGTAGTAAATCTTTAAATGTCATCTTTTTGGTTGTTGTTGTTATGGGGAATTAGTAGCTGGTGAATGAATAAAACAGTGGTTTTATTTGTAGATGTCAACGGTACAATAAAGTAAAAGCTTGTTTCATACTAATCGATCGATGACACTATTACAGCAGATTCCGAATCCATTTTTTAACTGATGGTTGATTTATTTATTTTAGTGACATCTGTACGTTTAGTAATAATATGGATATGCATATAGGCTTAATTAATTACCTGGCTTTATATAACATCGAAAAGACAAATAAAAAATATGAGCCAAGTGTGGTTGTTAAATACTCAAATATAGTATCTAGCTAGCTAAATTCATTGACATTAGATTTTTCTTTACGTTTAGTTATGATCAACGATGATAGATCTACGAAAGCAATGAAAAAAATAACATTTGAGCCTAGTAAATAAGACTCTCTTTGCATACTTAAAGTTATGTTTACGTCATTGAATAAGTACACAGAGTTATAGTTAAAGAAGGAATTACGCAGAGAGTTATGTTGATTAATCTGCATTATGAAATTATAAAACACAAAAGCGACAGATGAAATATTTTTGTAGGAACAATATAATTCTCTGGAAAATAATATAGTAATTAACGAATAAATAATATAACGTGAAGGATAGAGAATCCGAATCTCTTGGACTAACTCAGAATTTATTCCTGATTTGTCATATTTATAAGCATAACGTATTATACTTTGTCTTACACTTTAAGTTTATACGCAAAGTTTTAAATGCAAAGTTGAGTTTTATAGTCGAAGTTGCTAAAGGTTCGATGTTTTTGTTTTGTTTTGGCTTTGATAAAGCTAAGGTTCGGAGTTGTTGTTGGAGAGATAATAATATAATGAAATGCAAGGGTGGATTGGGTTGTAACACATATGAGATGATGAGATCAAAGGGAAAATATTAAAAGAAAACAGATGCGATTATGGCGTAATTGTGGAATCATTAACTCAGAACGTAATAAATATTTGTCACCAAGTAAAAAGATTGGTTCCCAATGGGTCAAACCCACAGCTAAGAAGACTTCTTTAACTTTAAAGAAAAGAAGAAAGTATTATAGGGGGAGAGAGTATAAAATTTGTGTAGCCTACCATTACTTGAAACCGACGATTCGCTTTCTTCGATAGCTACATTTTGACTACTTCGGTCTTTTCTTTTTCTTTTCTTCTTAAAGTTCTTTTCTATCATCTCCAACCATCTCTCGAAAATTCATAAGAAATACTAACAACGAAACGTGTGTGTTATCAATACGAGTTTTGTGAGGAAAAAGTGTGAAGAAATATTCCCACACTAATGCTTTTTTGAGGCTTTTCTAAATTTGTGAATAATAATAAAAATTTGTTAAAGTTGGTTGATGGTTTAGATGTTCGATCGTGGAAACCTCCTTAGACCACCTCCAAAGGGAGGTTTAAGGTGGGTCTCTAAACTATAATTTCATTAAAATTAAATCAAAATTCATTAATTTTTTTGAAAACGCCCCTTAACTAACAGACTTAAGGAGCGGATGCTAAATATACGTGGTATGAAATTATGGGCTGTTGCAAAAAAACTTTTTTTCTCTCTCTTTCTCTCTCCTCTCTCGTCACTCTCTCTTTCTATGTCTCTTTTTTTTCTTTATTTCTTTTTCTTTTATTTGATTACAATTTATTAATAAAATATTTTTATGCACTTTTGATAGAGGTTCAGGGTTGGAGATGCCCTTATGTCCTAAACTCCTAACGAAAGAGTTGCGATCATGTCAGAACAACAACATTGCTAAAAAATAAAGTGCAAGTTCTTCAGCGTTACCTTATTGTATAGGAATGAATTTTTATTATTTTTGATTCAAAAAGAAAAGGAATATTTATTGTCTAAAGATTTTGAACTGTTTACTCTAATCATTTTGGGGTTTCTCTTTTATAATTTGACTCCCTTTCTTCTTTGTTTCTTCAGATTTTCTTAAACTTCGTTGGCGAATTATAAACATAATTAGAAATTTTTTTTGTTGACCAAAATTATTATTATTTCGGTTTGTATCCACCAATTTGGGTATAAAATTAGATGTGCGTTTATTTATAAAAATACTGTAATACACATTCGAACCATAGAAGAACATAGCTTTTTCTTTGACAAAGAAGAAACAAAAGTCGATTTTATATTGGACCGGGTTAAAAATTCGCGGATTTGGGCCGGGCTGTAGTTTGTGGTAGTGGTCACTTGTCCCGTAAGCTTTTAATGAAGAAGGACACAGTAAATGGAGAGATGTACGTTTTCTTTCCAGGAATCAATGAGAGTAACTTTGAAACTTCAAGTTTATGCAATGATTGATACTGCACGTTCATTGGACGTTAAAGATTCAGACTTCAGATGCAAAACAACTCAAATACTGATCACTGAGAATGCAGCAAAACATATATAAGCACTGGACCACTGGTCTTCAAATAGCTAAACATGGTACTAGGAATAAATAAGCTTACAAACGTATATAATCTAGGATTGCTACATTGATTTCAATCTATAGTTAAAAATATTAAGCTCAAACATCAAATGTTCTCTCATACAATCATTGTTTTTATACATATGATCTCTTCGATATTGGGTTCAACACGACCGTTGAGCAAGCAAACAAACCCTAGTACCCCAAACCCAGGAAAGAAAGAAAAACCCTCAACACACCCAAAAAAGTAGTAGTAAGAACTAAGAAAGAAAGAAACAGTTTTTTTTAGACCGCTGTAGTAGATTTCCGGACAGTGTAACGGTAAGCAGCAACTTTCTTCTTGCGAGACAGAGTGTTATCAACAGAGAGAATGAGTTTCCCAGCTTCTACTGTTGTGAATGAGTTGCAAACAGCTTCATCTGAAGCTTTCATCTTCCTCGGTTTCTCAACCACGATCGCGTAACTCTCTTCTGCGTTTGGAACAAACTCTGCAGTGTACTCTAAATCCCATCCTCCAACTACTATATCCCAAGTTATGGTTGCTCCACCCTGTAATGATATAATAATCCACACAAACATTTTCAGAATTCATCTAATCATTTCCCACTCACTTGTCTATCTGTAAAATGCTTGTTAGTATAATAGTATTACCTCAATGCCTTCTATCTGAATGTTAACTTTCTCACCGCCTTTGATGGAGAATTCAGACGCAGGTTTTGGCGGTCCGTTTTGCGAATCAGTAGGACGGCTAAGGCCACCGTATTGCACTGGAATATCTTCTGGCCTTATGAACCTGATATAGCAACAATGGTATGCATTATATTTAAACAAAAAGATTATAATATCCCAAAAAACTAAAATATAATGGTAACAGTTTAAAAGTTTTACTTGTAGAGTGTTTCGGCAGCGTTTCCTTCTTTGGACATCACAAACTTGCTCTTTGTTCTGTGAGTCAGGAAAGGGCTGAACATTGAGTAGATTACACTGAAGTACCATGGCACGTTGATGAATATCTGAAAATATAAAGAGTTAGATAGTATACTGAGACTTAATGTGTACCCTATATTTGTACCTTAAACTATTGGTTGGTCTCACATCTCAATATGATTGCTTAGATATTATGCAATGTATCTGTTAAAATGTTTATGCAGTAATCGAGAGTAGAAAAATGATTATAGTAACATCAATTTGTACGACCACACACAAGGAATGCATCAATGACACTGTAGCAGTAGAGGACAAAGCTAGGGAAGTAGTTTTACCAAAAGTAAAGACAAAAAGAGAATCAAAATAGACTAGACAGAGAATAATGACACACATAAACATCTAAAACCATTCTTAGGGCATCATTATTGGTGGGATCTTAGAGGCTAAGATCCCCAGGTTTTTACAAAGAAAAAATCTTATATAAGATCTTTCCTTTGCAAAAACCGAGGGATCTTAGCCTCTAAGATCCCATTGGTAATGTTGGTCTTACTACTATCATCCAAGTTTTCAAAATTTAAACGGAACTCAAGAAACCACACACAGAGATGAACCAACAAGTTTCGAGAGATTTAGAGAAATTTTTTTAAAGAAGATTAGAAACAACAAATTACAGAACCAGATTGCTTGAAACGAGATTTAGATTCCCCATTAAGCATTTGACACGTTCAGATTTCTTGAATTCAGATTCGTTTCTGTGTAAATGTAACAACAAGCAACCTAACACGCAAAACAGAGCATAATCACATTAAAAGAAAAAAAAAAAAAACCATAACAATTTCAGACAACAAGTACAGAACCATAAATTCAGACAGAACCCCATTAAAGAAAAGAAAAAAAAGAAATTTAGAGAAGAGATTAGAGAAATCCTGACCTTAGTAGCAACCATTTCAGGGTAATTATCTTGAAAAAGAGAGAGAATCTGATTAGAAGCAACTCTAAGCTCTCTCTTAGGCATATCTTTAAGATCTGTGACCTGAATAATGGAATTGACACCACCAGGTTTGAAATGAAGCATCTTAACACCTCTCTCCAAAACCTGAACTCTCCATCTAAGAAACTTGTTAAGCTTCTCTTCATCACCAAACACTCTCTCGTACATATCTTTCTCTTTAAAGACACCGTAAGCATTGTAACACACTGGGTGCCCTTCTTTGTCGTAGCCTCTCATGTAAGCAACTGTACCTTCCAAATCTTTGAAACCCAGATCTTCTTCAGTCAATTTCTCTGCTTTGAACTCTTCTCTCCACTGCAAACACTTGTCAAGCATCCTCAAAGAGTCAGCTACTTTGAAATCTCTCGCCCTGAGGAATTTGAGGAGGATAACGTCAGCTTTGTCGTCTCCACCGAGGAGTGAGACTCCCCACATAGAAGAGGCTTTGGAAGACGAAGCTGAGAGCTTTTCTTTGAGTTCTTGGAGTGACTTTTGCTCGGAGGGTTTGAGCTCAGAGACGAAGTAAGTGTCTTCTTTGAAGTGGTTAGAACGGAGAGTGATGAGTGAGGATATGAAGCTTTTCTTAGGCTCTGGGTTTTCTGGTGATCGAATGGGTTTGGAGACAATGAAGCATCCATGGTTTCTTGAATTTTCTTGATTTTCTTGATTTTCTTTTGTGTGTTTTGGGTATGGGAAGAAAGAAAAGAGATACTATTGAAGAAACAGAGGAGAGACAATCGAGGATCGAAGCAGAGGGGGAAGAGTGAGAGTGACGGGAGAGAGAGAAAGATATAGTATAGGCGTGACTCTGGTTTCTGAATTTTTTGAACAGATAACGCGGCTTTTTACATACATGTATAAATTAAGTATAAAATTTTTCTGATAAAGCAATCTACTATTTTCCAGTTCCAACGCTTTTTAATTATTATTATTATTTTTTTAACAAAGAAAGATTTAGAATAGTAGTAACCATAAAAGACAATAAAGTAAGTTTATTTTATTGAAATCAACGAAAAATGTTTTAATTTGAAAATTTTGCAGAAGTAATTGTTTACTGTTTAGATGAATGTGAAAAAAGAAAGATAGGGTATAGAAGCAAGCAAGCAAGATTGGGGAAGATCTTTTTAAGGAGGTGGAGGAGCGTGATAGTCACGTGCGTTGGGGTGAAGGAGGAGCGTGAGCTTTGGAGTAGTAGAGGGTAACGTGTGGAAGAGGTGATAATAATGAGGGAAGAATGGGATTGGGGGCGTGTCCGTGGTCATCTAAGTCTACCTAATGGGGTCCCTTAACCCTTTTTCGTGTTTTTGTTTTCTCACTCTCGTTTAAACTTCTACTACGTTCATATTCAAACACACACACACACCCTTGTCTGAAACATATACAAGAGGAGATCTTTATTGAGTGAGATGTAGATGTAGGAAGGAAGGCTTGTTGTTGTTGCTCGCATTGAGTTCTATATATCTATCTCCTTCTGTTCATGATGCCTTGGAAACTTGAACTCTTTGCCTGTTTGGTTATTTATTTATTTATCTACGTAAGTGTATGGTAAGAAAAGAGAGTAAAGCATTTATAAGAGATTTCACCTTTCATGACTTAGTCGATGTGAACACATTGATGGTGGCTTTATCATTCTTGAGTGGAAGCAATGAGTATACTACTAATTAATATTTTTTTTTTAGAAACTAGTTTTGTGATTCAAAATCGTTTCATATTTTTCATTCAAACCGCATATTTCGACCAAACCACTCTTTTCATGCCGTCTTAAACCGGTTTCTTCATTATCTCGGTAACCATAAGATGTTTATCTAATGTATTATGGTTGATTTCAGTATAAGACGTGACAAACATGAAACACCAAGACTCAAGGTTATATAGGCAAAGTAATAATTACAAAAAAAAACATAAGACTCGCGGTCATAAGCATAGTTTTGGTAATCGCATGTCTAGACCTTAATAGTATAAGTTCGTTAGTAACACTTCCATTAATTTTGTTTATTTGTCTCCTCTATATTCTAAAAAGCGAAAGGAGGGGGAGCTTAGGTAGGCTTATTTAGCACTTTGGTTTCAAGTTTCAACGTAATAAGTAAGAGAGGGGAGTGATTATGAGAATATCTGGGGATCCGATCATATTAGCATGATAAATTAATACACTAGTTAGCCTTAAAAACAATCATATTTTCCACCCATGCGGCTCAACTTTAACATACTTTCCAGTTCATTCCCATAACCTACAAAATCAAACATTTAATTAACAACGGTTCACGAAATTGTATGTATCTAATCGAATAATCATTACCAACATGTGTAATGCCTACTAGCGTTTGGAGTTGGACCATATTATATGTTTAATGAAATGATGCAATGACAGGTTCATCTCAACAAATAGTCCATAAGTTTCTTACTTGCATTGTTTTGTTTTCAACAACTTGTTATTCCTAATTACCTTTGTTTAATGAGTAATTTTTTTATCCTTTAACATATTTACTTTTGATCATACGTTTTAAATAAGGAAAAATAGAAAACAAAACCATGCCAGGCCACTTTCGCTTTCCTGGCTTTTTCTAGAAAACTGAATATGAACACTGCAAAAATTCTCAGACATTATCTTTTTTTTTTTTTTTAATAAAGATATTGGAATTTACAAGGAAAATAATATAATACCATCGAAATAAATAATTGTATAAAATTGGACTTAGAAATTAAATATTATGTGAAAATATAATTGTTATTGAAATAATTTTCAGAGGGCATAACTTACGAATTTTCTATAGTTTTTCTGTTTTGGTTTTCTTTTTTTTTTTTTTTTTTTGTAAAATACTTTTGATTTCCCAACTCTTTTTAGAGTTTTCTTTCTATTATATTTTTTTTTTCGTCAAAATTTCTTTCTTTTTTTTTCTTGGGGGCAAAACTACAGAATTTCTTTCTATTATATTAAATATAATATTTTTAATAAAAGAATTTGATCCTATTTATTTTATGGATCCATTGTCTGATTTATTTCTCTGTTTTTTTTTGTCAGTCTCTCTATATTAAAGAAACAAACAAGTATTTTGATTTTTATTTTTTTTTAAATGAGAAATTTAACAAAAAATGGTTTTGGCGTTTGTCGAGAACATGGTGGACCTGTATGTGCTAATTCCCGTGGACATACTTTGCTTTAACAAATATTTGAAAATTGAAAAAACTTTGGCTTTTTAGAGTTTACTTTTGACTTGTTGGTGTGCTTACAGAGGCGAACACTAATCGATTACGTACACTTTAATCATACGGGATTTGCCCTTCTATACACAATTACACACAGCCTCTCTCTGTCCCTGTTTCACTCAATTTTTTGGTTTTCTTCCAACCTCACTTTCTTTTTCTTCATTATTTACAAGTAAAACAACAACAATGTTTTCATGTGTAACCAAGCCCGGCCCATGTGTTTCTGAGGCTCCACCTTACGCAAAAACTGTTTTGGTGGTCCATTATTAGTTTCTTACATATACATCATGGAGATGAAGACTTAATTCTCGAACTAGATTCTTAAACATTGTGGCTTCCAAATTGCATTAGTGGTCCTAAAACCTAATTTTCTTTCTTTTACTTGTGGTTAGGACCGCCTAAGCATGTCAACGAACTTTGTCCATCTCTCTTTTCTTAACCCTCTCACAAGTCACCGGCGGCTTTTTCTTTTTTTCTTTTTTGGGCACCGGCGGCTTTTATAATTTCTTCTTCTTTGTAACCTCATCCATCAAAACCAAAAACATTATTTGCCATCAGTTTTGAAAAACAAAGAACACGTCAGGAAGAAACACATGCAAGACTTGCAAGTGGTAAAGCAATAGGCAAGGACGACATCCCGTCCGGTTCAGACACATAACTCCAGAACTCGACGACTTTGATTATATTAGGCCGAACTAAACTAGTCATGAGTTAATTACATCGATGTAAAGTTTTTCTTTTTTTTATGTAGGCTCACACAATTATTGATATGTCCTCTAAACGAGCTTATACCGAACTTTCGAAAAAACATGTGTGTTATAGTCGTTATCAGACTTAAAATCGTAACCATATTTTAGTCGTTACTAAAACAGACAAATATGTAACATTTTCCATATTTTTAAAGTGATAATATTAAATGCAGATAACAGATAACACGCCTAGTATATGTAGTTTCTAGCTAGCCAACCGTACGTTATGATAATTAATAGGTGATAGTTAGAAAAAAAATTAAACAAATCTCGTTTAAGACAGACGCGAAGTAACAACGCTAGTTCCCCGCAGCACATGGATATGTATGAAAACATAATTTAAAAACACTTAGTCAAAGAACTAAAACGAGTATCTTAAATCTGACTTAATCCTATCGTTCAACAGTAATCTAAACTCCTAATGATAGGAGGAAACCCAAATACTAAACAACACTTAAAACAAAACATAAGTTTTTATCCTTATTAATCATTATTCCAAATTACGGACTTGTTCTTTTCTGTGTGGTCCATCCAATCGATATGGTATGAAAACAAGTTTCTTCGAGGGCGACGTAGCTGCGTTAATTGATTGAGTCACGTCAAGTTGTCAGATTTGAAATTCGAAGATATATTTTCAAACATTGTTCACATCTTTAAGAAATCATTTCTTTCTTTCATTACTTCGTACCTGATAATTTAGTTCCTATATATTTAAGTGACCATGTGAGATGTTTCTCTCCCACAGCTCTCCTCAACACCATACAAAATCCTCTCTTTTGGTTCTTGTTCAGATTCTTGAAATTAAAGCTTGACGGTATCAAGAAACGGGCGTGAGAAAATGCCTTGTCTTTACATTACAACCAACGTCAATTTCGACGGCGTTAACACCGATCCCTTCTACTCGGAAGTCACCAAAGCCGTCGCTTCTATCGTCGGACGACCTCAGAACGTAAGAAACCCTTCTCTTACTAGTTTAATAATCTCTCTCTTTTTTTTTTAAAAAAAAAAGGCTTAAAACCCCAAATACAAAAATATACACTTGACTTGCAGATGCATTTTTATTTATTTCTCAGATATATGAACTTTCTTCATTTAATGGAACTCAATAGTCAATACCCTCTTCACATAAACTAAAAAGAAAAATTTATAGTAATGTCTTTTCTATCACTTTTTTTTAATAAAGTATCTTTTAATTCCACATCAAGACTCAACTTATCTTCTTTACAGTAATAAAAAAAACAAATTTTACAAAAGGATAAATTTATCATTTGAAGAAGGCAGTTAATATTGTTAGTTTACTATGTTTTCACGTAAATGGAATTCGAGATTCCTATTTAATAAAAAGTCAACTTCATATCTATTTATTTACATATAATGTATGTAAGCTTAACTCTAGATTTTTTTAATGTATATATTGAAATCTTATTAAACTATAGGTAATTGTAGTTGACTCCCATAAACATAATTTAATTATGGTGTGTATTAAAACTCAGAGAACAATAGCATGTGGCTAAGATTTTTTTGCTCTAAAGATTTGATTCTATGTTATGTGCTGTGAAGATGTAGGAGACTAGAGATATTCCAAATTTTATGTTTGCATATCAAATAAAATGGTTATATATATGTACATTGCAGTTAGTGATGGTGGTGTTGAAGGGATCAGTAGAGATAGTGTTTGGAGGGAACAAAGACGCAGCTGCATATGGAGAGATTGTATCAATGGGAGGCATCACAAAACAAGTCAAGAGAGAACTCATCGCTACCGTTGGATCTATTCTCCATACTCACTTCTCTATTCATCCCACTCGTTTTATCTTTAAAGTTTTTGATATCAATTCGTTGCCTCTTCCTTCTAAACTTTAAATCAGGATGGGTCATCTTTTATATTGTCCACCAACACACAATATATATAGTCACATATACTTTTCTATCGTTTTCGTTTGTTTTTCTTTTTGAGTCTTTCTCTATATTTATGTTTACAAGCTTTTACTATTTTATGATCACTTTTTTTAGCTATTGACCGTGTATAGTATTAATATAAAACTTGAAACAATACATAAGGAGAGATGTCCTAATCCGAGAGACATAGACTAAAGTCTTTGGACTTGGTCATATATAGTTTCATTTATTTAATTTTTAATTAGAGAAGAAGTAGCCTCCTTCTTGAAGCTTAGATATAAACTTTGAAATCATTGAGTTTCCGAGAAGTAGGAAGTAGTCTATGATGGTTCCATTTTTCATTTTTGAATAGGAACTAAAATGAATGGATGAAACATTGAAACTAGACGAAAAAAATGTCCTTCACATCAATTCTTCTTTCTTATGATTGGGACCAACGAATTGGGTATATACTGTATACACACGTACTTGATTTAAATAACAACAAAGTTTCGATGGCTTTCGAATAAAGGGATCCAGAGAATTGTAAGATGATCTTTCAAACCGGTTTTATGAAGTCAATCATACCAAAGTCAAGTCTCTCCTCGTTTCTTCAACTAGCTTGGTTAAGTAATCAACAATCTTTTGCCTATCGAGATACAGGAATGAATAGTGTGATTGGTGAATGGTGGCAGACCGTTATTGAGTCGTACAAGTTACTACTAGAAAAATAGCTAAAAAGTAAAAAGTCTCAAAATCATCACATGTCTGGAAACAAGATAAGTAAAATCCAAAGATACAAAAGAAAAAATCTTCACACGTCTTGTTCGAAGACACTTCCAGATAAAGGTACTACGCGTCACTCCCTTTTACCTGCGGGGAAAAAACTAGATGTCAGCAATCAACAGTGTGCACTGTGCACTGCGCACATCTCAACTTGTACTCAATGCACATCTCAACTTGTAGTAAATATACATACCAGATCATGCATTCGATTAGTAAATTAAGCTAGACAAAACTTAAAAAGTAAAAAAAAGTATAATTTTTTTTTTTTAACTCCAATCAAAATAATATGACATGATTCATATTTAAAAAGTAATCGAAGCAACATAGTTTTGTAAGTTTAACCAAAATATATATATATAGGTAGGCCAATGAGTTTGGATGCAATAATGGGAGCCAAAATTCATAAGTTTTTGCATCCTGAAAAATCAATTTCTTTTGTGGAAGTCCTAACTCCATTTTCTGAATTATGAAAAGAAATAGTATTCAGCTGTAGAGACTAATTTACAAAGTTCACCTCTGATTCCTTTTTTTTGGGGGGGATTATATTTGACAATGTCTATCATATTGGTTATATATGGTTAGTGATATTAAAATTAAAGTAAGTGGGTTGTGATCTGTGCCAGTTTACAAACACCAAAAAAATTAATGTGTATAAATATAGAGATTGGAAAATGATAGAAGTATTGTAAATTAAAGTTTCTACCAAATTATACAGCTGATACCTCATAAAAATATACAAATTACTCTAATCCCTACCAATTTAGTTTAATCTTTTCTAAACTAAACCCCCCAAGGAACGCATGTGCTCTCTCCTCTGTGTTATGCCGTTGCTTTCACGTCCTTTGGCCATTAACGTTTACGAATCTTGGTTAATATGGAAATGAAAACAAGACAAGATGTAGTAATTATTATCAAAACATTAATAAAATGCTTGAATGATTCATCAAGTGGTATTCTATATAAGATGTACAACACATGTATTAAAGCAATATTTTGCATGAAAGATTCAGGAAAATACAGTTGTCATGGAGAGAAACTATATATATGTGCAAGCAGAATAAACATCAAATTAGAGTGACTGAAAAAACCAGAAGGAGATGAAAAAAAGTAAAAGCAAAAGAAAGGATCCAAGGCCAAAGCTGTCCGAGTCAGTAGAAGTTGTGGAGGCCGGAGATGGTAAAAGGAGAAGAGAAGGGATCCATGGAGAAGTCCAAGAAGAAGATAAGACATGTAGAAGCAAAAGGACAAGTAAGAGTAAGATCCCTACGATGAATGTTCCTGTTTGTAAGATTGGTAATATGTAATCTTCTAACAGAGAGATAAGGAATGAGCCGCATAAGAACCATCCGAAGAGTACCACAAGCACAAGTGGAACTATTGGCGATGGCCCTTTGCTCTCCATGTTTTTTGCTATTCTCTCTTAAGTCTTAGTTGGTGTTGAATGAAAGAGATGGCCATTTTACAAATCAGAATTTGCAGTCGTGATTAAGTTTTTAAATACGTGATTTGTTTGGATGCATGCGGTTAGATAACCTAATTAACGCAAATTTCTTTTTAATATTGCCTTATATACTTTGTTCTTATGTGATCAACTGTATAATAATCACTTTTTCATAGATTATATCATCCTATAGTTATATAAAGGTTTTCGACGAATGGTTGTACCAGTCTAACTTCACTACAAATACCGTTTCAGTACTCTCATGGATACGAAAGCTTTAAAATGCCCTCTTCTATAAAGTATTAATTTGTAACAGTAGATTGGATGATACAAAATTAGTAAAACTCTCTTCTTATGTATACGTATGTTTCGCCAACCACGTTATTGAGCATATATATTGTTTTCTTTCTATTATCTAATATCACTTTCTTTATTGCTACGTTACAGTTTCGTTTGTTAAATTGTTCAACTGCCTATACGTTTGATACGAGAAGATAAACAACTTCCGTATCAGTTAGTCATATAATTTATGATTAATTCTTCTTTTATTTGAATATTAAGTTTATTTATTATTGTAACTTGTAAGGGACAAACAATTATTGCATAACAATGTAATCTAATTACTCTCTTTTACACATGAGAGATATATTTTACCTTAGCACTAAAATATCGAATTTGTGCGGTTTTGCAGAGCGTTTTCAAATCAAAATCGAGCTTTATGGTAAAACTTGCCAAAAAAATATCATATATGCAAAGGACTCTAAAACAATTATTTCATATAATATCATCAAAGCAAAATGCTAGTTACCAATATCTGTCTTTATCATGAAAGTGCCACAAAAGGCTCTCTCATATCCTATTATCATCAACATCTCCGAATGAAATCAGTGGAGGACGGTTGATGTTGTAGTTCGTTCGTGTTCGAGTCGAAGCCACGCCCACGGCGCTTGTTGATCAACTCCATAAGCGATCGGTGTAGAACCTGCGTTCTCGTGTCCACCAGCGATCTCATTTTCTGTTGTAGCCTTACTCGCCTCCGTTGATGCTGACATTGATCATCATCAATTGGAGGTGAATAATGGTATGTTGAAGCATTCAACCAATTCTTAGAGCTTCTGCTGCTACCCTCCACATCTTGGATTGCATCGTTACTAGAACCGTCATTGTTATCTCCAACTGCTACAGGAGAGTCGTGAGAGGAAGAAGCAGAGGAGAAAAGGCGTGTTCTTCCCTCTGCGTCGTCATTGTCCTCATCATCATCTTCATGACCAAAGCTTTCACGCCTGATAGAAGAGTCATTGGCCCTCCAGTTGGGGACGAGCAAAGATATCTCATTTTCTATCCTTGCAGCGATCTCTAAAGGATCCCAATCAGTGATCTCAAGCTCTTTCACCATCTCCAAAGCTACTTCTAGAGGTGTGTCACTTAGTATGTTGAATGGGAACTGAATGTTCCTCATGTGACCTGTGACACATCCAAACAGATTCATAAAAACATTTTCCATTGGTAGTTCTTCCATCCAAGTTTCACCATTCAGGTTACCCAAAAATTAGACGCTACGGTTACAATAGTTCATTTATTCCCTATGATCAACCGCTAATAATACAAGGCTGCTCCAAATCCTGTAGTCCGGTTCAGCTGAGCAAGTTTCTAGCAACCCAACAATAAGCATATACCGGACAAACTAGGCAAACAAGAACTTTCTAGTAAGTAGAACTTAAACGTACCATTGCCATCTAATATCTGTACTTGAAGAAAGATGTTATGGTCTTCTGAGTTCATCCTTCCTGTTATCGACATATCTGTTGTTCTAGTTGGATCAGTCGTTGACGGCAGATGCTCTAACACCGTTCCATTTGCAGCCAAATTCTGGATTGCCAGTTGTGGCGGCAATCTACATAGAGGAGTTAAATCTCTCTCATCAGTTGCGGCAAGGAATGGGTCCCCCAAGAGCTCCTTTGCAGGCAATCTTCTTGACACAGTTTCCAGGCATTTACCAACAAAACGTTGGGCCTCCTTGTGTTGGATTAGATGGAAAGATTCAGGCAACTTCCCCTGAATCAAACCCGCATCAACGAAAGTTAACATATACAAATATTTTTTCTGAAAAGATAATGATGATTGAGATGAGCTAAAGCCCTCTGCTTACCGCTGTAACTTTCTTGTATATTTGGGCAGGGTTGGTGCATTCACTATAAGGATACTCACCGGTAAGCATCTCTAGGACACACATTCCAAATGAGTAGATGTCGACAAGCTCATTATAATCTTCTTCATACAGCTCTGGTGCCATAAATTCAGGCGTTCCTAATGGTATATTCAAGTAAAAGGCAGAGGTTAATTCTGGAACTCACAACATTCTGTTTAAAAACATGGAGAAAAAAATAAAAAAGAGAATACCTATGACGCTGTGTGCATTTTGTGAACCACGGAGAATCGCAGCTAAGCCGAGGTCACCAATCTTGACTTGCCCAAGGTGGCCATTAACGAAGATATTATCGCATTTGAGGTCTCTATGAATGACAGGAGGATCATGTCCATGAAGGTAAGCCAGACCATTCAAGATCTGGCGTGCCCAGCTTTTGATTGCTCGGATATCAACCTTTTGATACTTCCTCCTATACCTGTAGATGTAAGACAGATGACAAGGTTATTTTAAAGGGAAACCACGCACAAATGAAGTCATAGTTTTTTTTTTTGCATAAAGCATGAGGTTAAATGGTTCTCATTACTCTCTAAGGGTGCCTGATGTGAATAGCTCAGTGATGAAGTTGAATGTTCTTCGGTTGACATCAATCCAAGATGTGCAGTAGCGGATAATAGATTCGTGATTGAGATTCTTGAGGAGATGAACCTCAGAGTAGAGGCGTTGCAAAGGCTCAGGTGATCTGAAGACCTCATTGAGCTTAACCTGATTCCATGCGACTTCCATACCTAGAACCTGGTCAAATGCTTTGTAAACCGTCTTCATTGCCCCTTTGCCAAGAACTTCTTTAAACTGCACACCATTTGAAGTACGAGAATCAACCCAATGTTCAAGAAGACATCCCAATCATCAAAAAACAAATCTTCAAGAGACAACTCTAGAAAATACAAACAGAGGAAAACCTCTGATCAAAGCAAATGTAATCAGAGAACAACTACAAGCCAGCATATCTCCAAAGAAACAACACCAAAGCAATGCCAGGAACTGAAATGGTTTGGCAACATTTGAATGGAACAGATAGTACCAAAGTCAAACATTTTCAAAAGACAATCGAAAGAGATAGCCAAAAAAGTCATCAAACTTGGGGGTTGATCAAATTCAGAACAAAAAAATTACCATTCCGCTAAGATTTAACAACCAAATCGTATAAGATAGAGCAACTTACACGCCCGTAGCGACCAGAAGGATCTGTCTCAACATAAGGGATCGAGTCATCGGAAGCTCCGGCCGAAGAAATCTCCATATACATGACTCTGTACCGGATCTATCAGAATCTCAAATTGGGGAAAAATTCAGAAAAAAATCGAAACTTTAGGAGAAAAAACAAGATCGCGATGCAAAAAGAAGAGAGAGCAAGAGAGAAGGAGAGAAAGAGAGAGAGAGAGAGAAAGAGAGAAGCGTGCAGTGCTAGAAGAAGATCCTAGGTTTTCCTTCGTGATTCTCGTAGGAGAAGACGCCGAAGAGCAACCAAAAGAGTCTGGAATAATCAAAACAGAGCAAAACACAAGCCATTTCTACAACAAGACCTTGTTGGCGTAATTTGTATTCGTCGTGCTCTTTCGCAATCATCTGTTTTCTTCCCTTACGCACCTTCATTCACTACCCAAAAAAAAAAAAAAAACAAAGGGCCACACCCAGAAAAACAAAAAAAACAAAAAAAAGTTTGGTGGGAAAAGTTAAAGAGAAAAGAATATTGTGGCTGCTACGATCAAAGTGGGGAAAAAGTTTGGAAAAATCACTCCTTTTTACTCGGGAAAGGAAGAGAATTTCGAAGAGAAGAGAGCCAAATTAGACAATTCTGAATTTGAAAAACCTATGGCCACGCTTTGGATTCACCATCGATGATGATTCTGATTCCCAAATACGACTTTTTAGCTCGACCCTTTTCTTCTTGCCCTTTATTGATGTTTTTTTTGTTTTGTGTTCAAGTCAAACGAGATTGTGATTAACGTCAAGTTAAGTATGTCTGTGCCGATGTTGTAGAGACGAGTGGTTTATGAACCGATGATTGCGTTACTTTGACACAGACCCTTTTCTTTTTTTTCTTGTCATTTGACTATTTCCCCTCCCACAATTTTTGTTTCATCTATTACAATATCTAAAACTTCAGTGTTTTTTAAAGTGATTTGCAAAATCCAGCACTGATTGAGAGAAAATAAACTGGTCAGATTGGGGGTCAACTAAAACTATACATATTCTATTCATACAACATTATATTTTGTTTTAAGTATGATGTGTTTGACAATGGATTCTATTGATAGCTTCATACTACAAAGATATATGACTCTAGCGGATGGTTACCAATCACAAAAGCGAAAAAAATTAGCAATATTGATAGCAATAAACTGATCATTGATTTTTTCTTAAAGTATTAAGCTACTGTTTACCGGTATCTTTTTCCCGCCAAAAAAACTTTCCGTGGAAAAACTTTTTACTATTTTTGGGTTACCAATCGGACCCAATATCAAACGAATATTACTTTTTCTCTAATGTCCAAAATCTTGTTACTTTTTATCAACCAACAAGAAACGAGAAAAAAATCATGGAGATATAGAGGTCGATTGGTAACGACTGTTACTTGTGCCAGTAGAGGCTTTAACTTTAAAATTTTGACTGTAGAAACTTTTACTGTTAAAATCTGATTGGTAATGAACAACTTTTAAAGTTATGCATGTTATTTTTATATTTATTATTTTATATTTATAATAAACATGATATTTTATAAATGAATTTATAAAATAAAAGTATTATTGAAATGGATCTTAAAAGAACAAGAAAAATGAAAGTAATTAATTTATAAAAATAAAATATATAAAATATATTTATAAACTTGTGAGAAGGTTTTAAATGTAATGGAGATATAGAAAATAAATCTTTTTAATTGATTAAATTTAAAGCCAGGTTTTTCACGCTTTGAGAAACATGAGAAAACAAAGAAAGAAAAAAAAGAAGTGACTTTTAAAAAAAAAAAAAAAGCAAAAAATGTTGATTGGCAAATTAATTACTGTTAAGGCTTTAAAACCATTTTAAAGCCTTAAAAGTCATCACCAATCGCCCTCATAGTGACTTTGAAAAGAAAAACATCCTATATATTACACTCAGCAAACCTGTCTAAGTTGAAAATACAAAGCTCTGCAAAGGTTTTGTCCACAGCGAGTTTGAGATTTTGATAAAGATACATATAAATAATTCTATAGCACCAGAGATAACATACAAGAAAAAACCACAGCCCAAAACATATCAGCTCCGTTCGTCTTTTCTTTCTTGCGGGAGGAAAAAAACAAATAACTTAGGACACAAACCAAGTCAGAAAGCTATACCTGTTCCTATAACGGTCTAGAGAGCATGTGTCTGTAATCAGACACCAGGGCTACAAAGGAGGGAACTCATGATCATCCGTCAAATGGTATGACTGTGTAGGCGTTACCCTACATGTACATTACTACAGTGAATTAGATAGTGGCTTTGATAGTTAATGTTAATAGTTCAATGAAGACAATATGTTTTTAAGGCTAAGAGATATATACTGTACCGATCTTCCTGTGGAGAGGAGGGTATAGATTTTGGACGCCGATTATGATGACCTCCACTACTATCTTTTTGCTTGCTGCCCTCAGGAGGGCAGACTACTTCCACTGGTAGAGGCTCCATAGGCCTAAAATCCGGAGCCTTTTCATATGGATGATCTGTAGAACCATTGGTATCAGGAATGGTTTCAATTGAATCAGTTTGACTCATATCACATGAACCATTTGTGTGGTTGGGATAATGAAGCTGTCTCTCACGGGAGTTTCTGTCAGGAAAATTCATTTCTGAGTGTGCGTGTATCATGCCTCGGCTATTGTTACGAGGCGACCTAGCTTGGTGTGAGTGTCTTCCTCTTGGGGAGAACGGTCTATCCCTGTAATGGTTCTGCACAAAAGAGACCTTAGAAGCTTGGCCATCTGTCTGTAAGACATATGAGAGAGGTAAATAAGTAAGTACCGCATTGGGGAAGTATGTTCCAGTTCCTCTTTGCTTAGGTAATTCCTCCATACCAAAACCAGTAGCTGGAATCATCTGGGGGTTCACATGAAAGAAAACATGTCTCGGAGCAATTCCATTGGTGTTTGTAGGAGCAGGTGCATTCTGCATGTATGGCAGAGCATGCCGAATTACTTCCCATGAATTGTTGTTCGGCGCCTGAGACAGCCCAGGTGATAGTGGAACGAAAATAGCATTTTGGACACAGTCAAACCACCAACGCCCAAATCGCAAACTAGTAATCTGACTATCATAATCGCCTGAGAGGTCAGACAGCCTATTTGGAGTTCCAGAAACACAATGACCCAAGTATTGGAGATGCATGTCTTCCTGTGGCAAAGGTACTGAACCAATAAACGGCAGGTCTTCATGACCAACATGCTCGTTCTCATTCTCATTCTTATGTATATCTTTAACTCTTCTAGAAACAGCAAGACTCTCTTGCTGTTTACCCACCCCGTTACCATTTAAAAGTTCTCCATTTCTCATCTGATGAAGAGAATGTTGCTTACCATTTAAAGGAAAGACACTTTCCTTATCACTAAGGCACGGAGATTTAACTGCATCATCAGAAATCTCAAGCTTTTGGATCCTCAAAGTAGCCAAGTCTTTTGCATCTCCTGAAAATCGTTCCTCTGAAACTAATGGGGCTGTTTCACGAGGTGATCTGCTTAACTCATGCCCAGTTGTACTTACTCCTGTACACAACGAGTCTTCTTGGTCATGTCTACCATTTCCAGCAGCACCAGATGAACTGGAGGTTTCTGATTCATAAACCACTTGGCCTTCTTGGAAATGGTTGACAGTTGAAGCTGGCGATATAGCACTATACCTGTTGTGCCTTACAAATGGAACAGCATCAAGGACATCGGGCCTCTGGCCACTCCCATGCCTGTGTAGCATGTTAGAGAAGAACTTACGAAGCTCAGAACTTATGTTTTCTTCTGACTGCGAAATGATCTGTCCAAGCTTCCGGGCACCATATGTGAATGCACTTCGTATTCGATAAAAGTTACCTGTATAAGAAAAAGTAAAATCCAAATGCTTTAAAATTTTACCAAAAAAGGACTCCGAGAATAAATCAACGGATGACTAGAGCTAACAAAATTTAGAGGTTTCTCTCATGTTTATACATTCCTTCATTTCCAGGTAAAAGAAAATGCTAAAATATATTAATTTTAGCCTGCACTTAAAAGCTACATACCCTAGTCCCAGAATTTAAGGTAAACCCACCATAAATATTTTAGAACGCTAAAACTCTGAACAGTGACATGTCAGAAGCTACTGTCTTAAGCCTGCTTGAACATCTAAATATAGAGTAAGATAGCAGCAGGACCAAAAAAAAAAAGATGGTTGGAGAAAAGAAAGCAGTCAACCTTTGCTTACGCTGCGTCCAAGATTATTATTTTCTTTAAGCGGATCAACTATATTAAGATGCTTTGATGGAAACACACGAGGGTTTGTCTCAAATCCTCGTGAAGGTACAGAGTACATCTCCATACATTCCTTAAGGAATTCACTGGTCAGCAGAAGATCTTCCCCCCCATTTTCGGGAGCCTCAACTACAGAAGTTAGAGATTAGAGAAAGAAATTGCAGATACTGAAATCGCAAAAAGAATTAAGTTTTCCATAGACTAGAGGAAATGATTACCAACAATTTCTGGTAGAGACGAAAGGCAGACGGGACCATTCAGGCTAATGCAATAGTTATCCCAGTCGAACTTGCTAAAGTAGTCCAAAAATTTGTATAGAACCTATTGGAAAAAAAGGTTAAGCAAATCAAGATGACACTAAACCACTAAGCATCCCTCGAAATTTCTAAAGACTCTTACCGCTAGTGGACCATTCAATGATGAATGGAAGAGATGGAAGATATATAAGACCAATGTCTCCAAAGCATATGTTGATATCAATCCATGGAAAGCCCCGAGAATACGGCTCTCATAGTAGCACCAAGCTTTGATGAGTATGATACTTCGCTTGAAAAGATGGTCCTTTCCAATGAGGCGATCGATCTGCGTAATCAAGTCGTCAACATTAATTTTTAAGAAGCAAATATTTGTCTTCTACAATCACATCCTTTGAAAATTGTTGTCATGAATATTGATATAGATAAATAACCCCAATACCTATTATTGCATGCATGTGGTATAGCAAACAATTTGCAATATCCAGGAAAATCTATTTAGCTACCAGAAAACTCATCATGCAGTTGGGTAAAAACCATCTCATTATGACAGATTAGCAACATTCAACTTGTGGTATACATCTATCAAGCAGATAAAATGAACCTAAACTGTATTTAACCTTTAAAAAGTTCAGTTAAAAATTAGTTTGACACAGCAAGGTCATGCTTAAAAAAGAGAGATTACCTTCTCGAGAAAGCAAAGAGTACATATCCCACCAATCTGATTAAAAGAGATATCAACCACGATATTTTGCACCAAACATTTCACAAGCTTAACCTGCAAAAAAAAAATTGGTACTTAAGGAGATAACAAACAACATGATAGGAATGCATAAACACCATATACATACTTGGAATACACATGGTAGACGCTAATTTCTGGAATTGACTACACAGAGATTAGGTAAACAAACCTCAGCCCGAATTAACTGCACATCCTTAACCACAAAATCGGCAGATCCACTACGTTCTTCCCTCTCAAGTACATTGAAAACTTTAGCCGCCAGATCTTCCTCGGGTTCGGGTATAAATCGACCAAAAGCTGTGAGATCAATGTCTCCATCAGGAAGATACGTTTTCAATGGGACTGATCCAAAAGAATGTACCTGAAAGACACATACCAGTACTGAAAAAATCACAGCTTCGCAAATCACATCCATAGACAATTAAAGTTATAAGCCGCAACATCATATAATCAATCTCTGGTAAGCAATAGAAAGGTGTGCGAGAAAGCACACCACTTTCGAAATAGAAAACAACAAACAAAGTACATGAATTTAGAACATCTTACAATAAAAGCCATCAACTTAAGAATTAAAACACAGAAGACTACATTAAAAAAGCCATCAACTTGGATTAAAAAAAGTTGAAGCAAAAGCATCAAAAGAAGTCAAGATAAAATGCAGAACAACATCGCCGATTCAAGCAAGTTCCTACATTTAAAACACGGCTGAGAGTTTTGTTTTCCAAATGATAAAATGCAAAGAGAGACAAAAGCCAATGCCTAGCGAGACAACACAGGACGTTCAAAACAAAATTTTACCTCGCATCCAAGTTTATGTCCGAGTATTTTTTGAACAAACGTAATCACATTTTTTCTTCGATCCTCGGCGACATGTGTTGGATGAACCTGCTCGATAATTTCACGGGTGGCTTCCTCCACTCTCATCCAAAACTCCGGTTGATTGGACAGAGACCGAGGCGGCGGAAGCGGTGGTGAGAATGAGGACGAACTCTCTGCTTCCAATACAGACCAATCATCGAGATCCGCAGCCATGGAAATACAACAAAACCTAAAAACTAAACAAAAAAAGACGATTGGTACAAGAAGAACCCGATTGATCAAACAAGGAGAATCACTTGGTTGTAAACTACGCCCCTTTTAGAAATTGAAATCGGATTGAAGTTGGAACGAACAAGGCGACTACAAATGAAGCAAACAAAGAAATCAAGAGATTATCTCTAGAGGGGAAGAAGAAAGAGATGATTTTCTTTTGTTTCTCTTCTTCTAGGTTTTGAAAGATCCCAAGTGATTACTGTTGAGGACCGATTTTGTTGTATTGATGTTCTTTCTCTGTCTTTTTTTTTTTTTTTGTTTGGTCACTGCATCAAAAAAAAAAAGAGGACAAGGGGAAAAAAACCAAAAGTTTTTGTCTTACTTTTGCGAATGCATCTTGAAACCCTTGAGAGAGATGTGGCTCTTTTTGTGTAGCTTTCTATTTACCTTAACGATGCAGTATTTAGAAACCACGACCAGGCATTAAATTCTTAAGACATCATTTCAAGTTTGATTAGTGATTGATTCTGCAGGAGATTTTATTGTTTCTGAATTTATTTATTTCTAAAGTTCAGATATTCTTCTATTAAGTTTTTAAAGAATTTTGCTTCTTATGAATGTCTTAAGAGAATTGTCAAAGATTTTTTATATGTCTTTCATGGATTTTGCTTATCCTTTTCTTATCATGTTATTAACTTTAAGTTTTGTTTAGTTTTTTTGTAGGTACCAAATACATACTTTCGTTGTTGAAATTCTTATGAACGTTTATAAAAAGAAATTTCTTTTTATAGAGATTTCAAGAACACATTCGCGCGTTTTTTAAATATTTTTTTTCTTACTTTATAATGTTCTGAAAATGATTAGTTAGATATTTAATTTTTTGTTTATCTTTTTGTACCGAACATACAAAATTTATTATGCAAATTTTTATATATATATTTCCTTTTATAGAATCTAACGAACAATTATTTATTAGTGATATCTTTTTCAATTAAATTAAAATTTATCATATCAACAATTCATAAACAAAATAAACTTCTTATTTATATATGTATCGTATTACTCTCTTTTCTTAATATTTTATTGTTGAAAACACCTGTTTATCATATGTGTTGAATAAGACCTAATATTAGGGAGTTCGATCATGTAGTACAAATCAAATTGAAATATTCCAGAAATATAATTGGCAATATTGTCTTCAGATCCCTTTATTCAGTTTAGATCATGTAAGGATCCAACTGTGTTTCATGTGTTCGTTAAGTTTGATCATTTGTCAGTCTTTCCAAATATAATTTTGTTTGACGTGTTGTCCACATATCACGATAAAGTCCGTAAAACCAAAAAATGCCTCTAGTAATTATATTATCGTGATCAATATTAACTTGAAAAATTTTTAGTTAGCTTCTTATATTGTAGAAAAAAATCAAAATTTGTGGTTTTCGTCCCGTCCTATAAACAAAGAACCAAATTTTTGTTATATACAAACTTGTTTTATCATATAGAACCAAAAAAAGTAAAACATAAGATGAAATATAGCAAAATTTTACCATTCCTAGCTATTAACATAATTTGCAAAACAATGTGTTTATTTTTTTTGGTCAAATCAATAATTTCATTACCTTTTTTTTTTCGTGCCAGAACAATCGTTTCATTTAGCTTAAATTAAAGGAGAAGAAAATTCCAACAGTCTTTCACCGTTACACGAGAAAAACATACATGCAACTAAAAGGACAAAAATCAAACCTAATTAAAGACCTTTGATAACATCGAGATTGCAAATGAAACTCATTGATCGAAAAATTACGAGAGCTGTTCGAAACGCCTAAGTTGTGGCTACTTTAGCCGTTACACTTTGATGTTTTTGTTTGTATTCTCTTTGGTGTGACTTTTGATGTGTTAATAATCATCTTAGCTGAGTCTGTATGACTGTATCGATGGATCTAAAGTAGAGGTCAAGGTGTCTAATTTTTCATAAAAACAAAATTTCCTTTTTCATGTAGAAATTATTAAAAGTCGAATTTTCTAATAAAGGAAAATTATGACAAAACTCTAAACAAAGTTGGACCTGATGTTTTGTGGCCCAATAACAGTAAAATGAAAATATACCCTATTATTAGTTTAATAAATCAAAGTCGGGGCCTGATGTTGTTGGCCCAATAACAACGCGGAGGCGAGAGTTCTTTTACAGTCGTTTCATTGTCTTTCTACCTCCGCTTCCATTCTAAATCTCCCGGCGAACAAAATTACCGGCAACAAAGCCTCGCCGAAGAAGTGAAGTTATGGCGGGCATGGCTGTGGTGGCAGGATCGAGACATTGGAACGCTTTTATTCAAGCTCTAGTTCTGATATCTCTATTGTTTTCGACTCTCTCCAGCGCTTACCGACCTGGAGATATCGTCCGGATGAGCAAAATGGGGCAATATCACTCTGTTCGTACTCTTCTTTAAACCATGTTAGCTGAGATTACTTTTATAATTTGATTGGAGACTAAAGGATCTGTTGATATTGTGGCAGTCGAGAACGACTTGGCATGATGTGATCGGAAAACATTGCCCGATCTTCGCCGTTAATCGTGAGGTACTCTGTGTGAATAGGTTTAAGACATTTGATGGCTTAATCACGGAAATTAGATTGGTAACTTTGTCTTTCTTTGCCAATTTTGTAGGTGTTGATCCCCATAGCGAAACCAATTGGCTACACAGGAACTGATCCTTATAAGATGTGAGATGATTGATTGCTTTTCATATTGATTACAGTTGAATTGACGATGTTTTTGCTGTATTTGGTGCTTTTGAATTGAAATTGATGTTCCTTTGGTTTAAGTGTCAAGCAAGTTCATCACCATTTCTCATCTATTTTGATTGATGATTTGGAGTAATCTAATTTTATATGGTGTTTTTAGTTTTATCTTGTTGCGGATTGTGTTCTTCCGATGTCATATGGCGACTTTGTTTTCTTATTTGCACAGTAGTCATATGCGAGTTAAGAGTTATAAGGTGTCTGATGTGTGATTGTGGATGATTTACATGCAGAAAATTCCAAGTTGGAAGTGAGAAATTTCTGATTCACTGGCTTTTGGTCATAAACCGTAAGAGCTCAGAAGTGCCCATGATCGATGTAAATTTGGTATGTTTAACATTGGTTTTGAGTCAATTATATGCGTTGACTCACTAGATAAACATGCTACCCAGGAAAATTGCCAGTGTTTGGATATTTAGTTGTGGCTTGTTTTTTTTTTCGTTTGCACAGAGATATTCTGGTGGTGATCTGCTTGGAGTCACAGCTGAAGTTATGGATATGCCCCATAGCTGTACGTAATACTCCTTATCTAGGCTATATCTTGTCCTGATTTATGTGTCTCCTCTCTAATATGTCTGCCTTCTGAGAGAATTTGCAAAATTTGTCTGCACTACTTATGGCCTAACCTGGTATGCTAGGTATCATTTTCATATCTGAAAACCCTCACGAATCTGGGCCATAGTAGATTGTAGCTTTTCAAGATTGTGATACTTGGTTGCTTGTGCCCATGTCTTAGGCCGTAGATAACTTGGCTTCAGTTTTACACTGCTTTTAATTTCCAGAGTCTTACATTATCCAGTGAAATTTAAAACATCTTCTCCTTCTTGGAGACACTGGGTGCTAATATATAGGCAGTTTGCTTTGTAGGCCCCTTTTCTGCTCTTGTGTTTACTTCTAGCACACAGACTGATTAAGTCTATCTGTCTGGTGGCATTACTGAATTAAGTTTTACATTTTCATGGTCATATATGCTTCATGGTTTCTATATCTTATACAAGTTGCCTGAATCATGGTTATGCTGGCTATGACAATTTCTAGCAAGGAGTCTCACATTCTCTATGCTCTGTTTTTACAAGTTGCAATTCTGCTTCTATGTCACAAAGTAGCATTCAGTTACTTCAAATATTTTAAAGACCACATCAGAGTTTATCTTAGTGGAGATTTTACCCATGAACAGATTTGAATACACACCCGGAGATCCACAAACTGTTCTGGGATCCTCAACACTGGCCAAAACATGTTCTTGTTAGATACACATGGTACACTAATTTCGCTTACTTCTTCCAGCTTTCATTCTTTCTCCTTCCTAATAACTTTGTGCATACGGTCGAGTCACAAAGCTTAAGGAACATCACGTTACTGATACGTGGCTGAGAAACTTTATTGTGATGCAGGAAAGAGCAGTCAGAGATTGATGTATCCTCAGGATTTTATGTCCTCTTTGGCTCAGGTAAATCCTTCTTCTTCCTGCTAATAAACGAACTAGTGAAGGGGGACAATTAAGCTGATACACTCATGTATTTTTTTTTTTGTCTACTTGTGATCAGCTCTCACATTCTCTTTTGTACTCTCCATTTACGTCTTACAATCTTCACGAGAGAAGCTGGCGAGGTAAATGGCGTTCCTGTTCTCCACTTCATGTGGATATCTCTCTGTCTTAAACCTAATACTTGAAAATTTTGTTGTAGGTTTGTAAGAGAGACGGTAGTAGAGAGCAGCAGCACAAATGTTGGAGAATTTGGCAAGGTGGAGTGAGTCATAGTGAAAGTATATGTATGTTTCTGCAGTTTATACTTGGAATTGGTCTTTCAACTCTCTCTATCTAGGATTAACCTGAGTTGCTTAAAACAGAACCAGAGAAAAGAAGAGATTCTTATCAAACATGAATTGTCTAAAGAAAAACTTTGTCCTTGTAAGTTGTAACCTTTTGGTTTAATAGAATTTAAGTTTCGTGATTTAGGTTACAATATCAGCATTCAGTTGCATTAACTTGTATTCTTAAGATCGTAATTTCTAAGAATTTCAACGACATACATGTTCTGTATGATTTATGCACGAGGAAACTTTCACAAATATACACGCAGATAGTATATGATCTTGATGGCAACGATAAGCATTGTGAAAATTTGTAATATATTCGATTATTAAATTTGCAATTTGAATTAACCTGAACTTTGATTTGCATAAAAATGGATGAACATTTGGAACTACGTTGGTTTGAAAGGAAAAACTGGTTTATACACTATAGCTCTGCCCGGGTCAAACTAGACTTCAAAAAGATCGGACAAAATTCGAAACGGACGAGACTGAACTAGCTGACTGATATGCCTATCAGCCTAAATCTTAAGTTGTCTATACCAAAAAGAATGTGCGTGGAGTGAGATAAAAATCATGCATATTCGTCTATATATATATATGAATGGTTTAGTGAGAGATGAGTTGGAGCAAGGAGCATATACCATGCCCCCTACTACAGTAAAACCTCTATAAACCCAACGAATTCATACGATCTTGATTGAATCGGTGCAAATTATTTAAAGTTTAATTACTTTAATCCAAATCGGAAGATAAATTGATAATTTTGAATTTCAAAGGAACCAACTTTGTGGACTGTTTGTTACTTTCACGTACGCCTCTCTTTGTATCTTGAGCTTCAGTTTTCTTATCTTTGAAAAGAGGGGAGAGTCAAAGCGTATATTAGAAAAAAATTTATATGAAATTGATTTGAATTACCAATATATGATCAAGTTGGAATTTGGATTTGGTTTTACATGTGTATTTAGACAAGATATCATTCTAAGTTTTCCAAGTTTTGAATGTGCATAGCGTATTCATTGTAATTATACAGTTACAACTTACAAGCTACACAATATATCGACAATGGAAAAACTGAGAATGCTAAATTAAGCTCATAGAAAATATTTAAAAAATTAAAAACCCTTGCAAGTGCAACATTTAAATATATTGTAGGACTATCCTAGCTCTCTGTTTAAGAGGAAGAACATCAACTGGGATTGGGTCTGAGTATTCTCTTAACGAGTTTGAAGATTGTGTGATCAATAGGTCCTTTGAGAGCTGCTGACTTTTTTGCTTTTTCCTTCGACATCGCTTATTATGAGTTTTCATGGCTCCGCTGTTTCAAACCCTGTTAATCAAAGAATCACTTTACAAAACTTATTCGTACGAACGAACGAACAACTGACCTTTATAAATAAAATTTCCGATCCTAGATGGCCTCTTTAGGCCCAATTACTTATAGGATTAATAGGAATTATAGTACATTTTCAAAAAATAATTAGGAAAGTAGTACATATACTATTTATAATTGTAAAAATAGTCATATGGACCCACAATGTGAGATAGAAGAAAACATGAGATAGGAAAAAAGAGAGAAAATAAAATGACATGAGGGGCAATTTTTTTTTCTCTGGATTTTGTTTTTTTTTTCTTTTCTTTTTCATTTTTTCCTCTTACTTTTATCACCCCAAAATTTTTATAACTAACATACTAATTTTTGTAAAAATAATATCAATAATATTTTTGACACATAAAAATCTTTGTTTTTTCCTCTATAATTTGATATGCCTTTTGCTAATAAATTTTAAATTTTTTTATATATAAATATTTATTTGTACAGTTTAGCATATGTACAAATGTTTTTTGTACAATTTAGTATGTGTACAGACGTATGTACAAAAATATTCATACATAAATATGTACAGACGTATCCGTACAGCTTATTAAGTGTACGAATATATGTAAATAATTACTCATTTTTATCCGTACAGCTAGTATAGTATACCAAAATATGCATATTTATATATATTTGTACACTAATATGCTGTACAGATGATATTATGTAATAATATTATTATTGTACAAAAACATAATTTTGTACGTATGTACAGTAAATATGCTGTATGAATTATATTATATAATTATTTTAATGGCAGACTCGTAAATACTATGTTTTTCTGAGTGTTTAAATATCAATGAAATAGTAGCAAATAGTGATAATGTACTACTTTCCTAATTGTAAATAGTGTTTGTACTAGTTTTATAATTATTTTTAAAAAATGTATTACTTCTCCAACACACCCTTACTTATATAACAAATGAGAGATCCAAGACAAAATTTTATTACCTGCACAAGAGAAGTGAGACTCTGTTTCAGTGCCCTGAATACCACCAACGTCGACGCGTTGTTAAGCTAGACATATGTAGAACAGTGATTGGTCTTTCCGAAAAAAAAAAAAAAAATGTGCATACAAGAATGAACTATACTTTTATAGATAGATCTGACAAAACGGTGAGTACATAGTAATTGGCTTAGATTAATTTAAACTACAAAAGCCAAAGATGAGAGAAGATGAACATAAATAAGAAGCAATGCAATAAATGAAACCAACCACCAACTAACCTCACTTCTTCTTCTTTCATGCATTTGTACTCTTTAGCTCTCTCTATATAAACCCAACCTTCATTAGCATTATTCATCATCCAATAATTCATTACTTACTTAAGTAAAAGAGAAAGAGAAATTAAAAGTTTTTAAGATATGGAGGGACTTATAAAGTTGTCAACGTTGATGATCGTGTGCATGTTAGTGACCGCTCCAATGGCGTCCGAGGCAGCGATCTCTTGCGGGGCAGTCACTGGCAGCTTGGGTCAATGCTATAACTACTTGACCCGAGGCGGTATCATTCCACGAGGGTGTTGCTCTGGTGTTCAGAGGCTAAACCGCTTGGCTCGTACCACCCGTGACCGCCAACAAGCTTGTCGTTGCATCCAGGGAGCAGCTAGAGCCTTGGGTCCCCGACTTAACGCACGTCGTGCTGCTCATCTCCCTGGTGCTTGCCGTGTTAGGATCGCTTACCCCATCAGTGCTAGAACCAACTGTAACACGTAATCTTCTCTCACTCTCTATTTATTACATCTTTTTCTTCAACTCCAAGGTTGTAATATTTTTGTTAGCATTTTAATGGAAGGATATTTGTTTGATATATTTGGTTGGTTGCAGCGTCAGGTGATCAACAACGGGACATAGACGTTGAAGGCTTTTCATATGAGAGAGTTTTTAAAAATAATTAAGATGTCACTATACGTACGAGTGTATCATTTTACTATTATCGTTGCTGTGTTTTTAGAATTTGTGTTTTTCATGTCTTTCTTCATATATGAGTGAGACGGTCCATTTAATTGGTCGTCTGTGTTGTTATGTACTCCTCGAATGATATTATGGAATTTACGATATTTGGATTATCTTCAAACTCTTGCCATTCACTTTGGTCACGTTCATGGCTTTGAATGCATCCGTTCCCTTTCTTCTCCGCAGCAATAGGATCCGTACACTAGGGTTCTTTTCATACGATATTGTTATGATCAGTTGACTTAATTATAGGCAAAAATGATACTTTATGAACATATACTTCGATTCCGTGAAATAGGGTTCGATTTCATTAATTTTCACTCTAGCAATATCCTTCAAAATGTTATGTTTTGCAACAAAAAAAAAAAAAAAGATTAGGAAAAACATCACATCAAAAGTGACTCACTTTTCTTTAATCAATCCTTTATCTAACTTCCTCACACTCACACAACTTGCTCATTTACACTTCTCACTCTTTTCTTTGTAATATTTTCGTCGGTGAGTGTATAAAATGTATCATATGTGATATGTCGATCGATCGACCCTACCTCTACATGGTTACATGCAGTTGTTAATAAAAAACTAGAAAATGTACCCAAAAAAGTTTAGATTTTATCTTCAGAGTCTTTGTTCCAAGTATGAAAGACAAAATTATAAGTATAAACATTACGCTATCATGCATGTAGAATAAAGACGGGACAAAAGGTAAATCGATTCACAATAATGAGGATAATATCTTACGACTTGGGGAGATCCTCTTAGATATCTCCACGTACGTGTGACCGTATAGCTTCCAAGAGTCCCTTTTCAATAATAACATACAAATCTCTTTGCCCCGTGTAATTGCTTTCCATGCTTTCCTCTCTTGTCATCTTCATTCCTTGATACCTCCTCCACCTCTTTAGTCGTTACCATTTGATGTTTTTGGTCCGCAAATATCTACTTGGACCATTTCCATTTTTTCTATTTCTTTGTTATTTTCTTGATGAATCGCCACTTGATCACGATCACCAATTTCTCGATCCACATGTCTAAGAGTTTTCTTACTCTCTTTGAATCGTGTCACGTGTGGCTTCATAAATAGTAGTAGTATGTGCTTAGCCTTACGACGACCTTTTTAGCCATGTACAAGTAGTACATATATATAGTATTAAACTACAAAAAATTGACATAAATACACACATTTCTTGTATATTCAAAAATCAATGCAATCCAATTCTACTTCCAGTCTCTTAATTTATGAAATCTAGTTGAGATCGATGACCTATGTTCCCACTTCATGTAAGAAAGAATAAGCATAGGTTTCAACTTTCTTCTCTGCTGATCAAAAATAATTTTCCGTTACATGCATAAATTTGTTATCTAATAATTTCAGGAAAAAAAAATATCGATAATATACGATTTCGAAGTAACAAGGCAGTTCATTTTGTTATTCATCTAGAAGAAAAATTAGTTAACACATAACCATTAGTTAATTAGTCACTTTAGGTGGTGCCATTACATTACATCTTCTTGAAACTCAATTGAGCGAAGATCGGGAAACCAACGTATTGCATTGGAATATGTGTATTTTCAATCTTAATTAAAACGAAATAAAAATACTAATTTTCATTAAATTTGCATGCATATGGAACAACGCATAATTAACGGGTACGCATGACCTTCATGAGTTTTTTTTTCCAATTATAAAAACCATACCGACCTCAAACAAAAGTAAAAGCAATATAAAAAAGCACAAAAATGGCGTTTGCTCCAAAGATCATCACATGCCTCATCGTCTTGACAGTATACATGATACCCCCAGCGGAGTCAACCATCCAGTGTGGGACAGTGACGAGCACACTTGCACAGTGCGTGAGCTACTTGGTCAACAGTGGTCCATTGCCATCAGCATGCTGCGTGGGAGTCAAGTCATTGTACCAAATGGCTCAGACCACAGCGGATCGGAAACAAGTATGTGAGTGCCTTAAAGTAGCGGGTAGAGAAATCAAGGGCCTCAACACCGGCCTTGTGGCCTCACTTCCTACCACTTGTGGTCTTTCAATTCCCTACCCCATCAGTTTCAGCACCAATTGTGACAAGTACGTCTCCATTTAACCTTTTTTTGTTTTGTTTTGTTTGGATTATAACTATTTTGAAGAACATTTCCGTAATAATTTTTTTACTGTATTCTTTAATCCAAGTATTAGATAATTACATAAACTCTAAGTGTCTAACAATAGTTTGAAAATCATAAATTACTGGTATTAGTCATAATTAACTCATATAAAAGACTGGTGATATTTATCTACTCTATAATATTATCGTATAACTTTTGATTTTCTTACTATAGTATAATTTTTGACATGATCGGATATATAAAAATAATATAGGTTTTGTAACTAATTCAAATATTGTTACGTTGATAATGCCAAAAATGAATTATAACGAGTTTTTTAAAATGCTTGTATATATGAATAAATGCATTTGGAGTATAGTATATCCAAAAGTCATCATTATCAACTTTGTTTGTTCAAATGTTTCAGTATATCGACTGCCGTGTAAAAGAGGCTATGTAAGCTGATCATGATCTGATGTCGACGACTACTCAAACTTGCCAGCTTTTTGTTATTTTCACCTAAATAAAAATGTATTAATTCTCCTGTAATCTCTCATTTTTATGACTCTATTTTCTTATCTATCTATGTATTGTAATCATTTCATATGTTACTCTCTCTCTCTCTC